ATTCCTTGGCGAGCTCCATCTACTACTAGACACACCATAGTGACTTGGTTGACAATTCTATGATTAGTTGATTTGTCTGCTGTCACATAGAAATGTGGAGTCATACCTGTGTTTGGAAGAGGCATCTTTAGGAATCTTTTTGTTCTCATGTCAATGTAATTGCATGTGGCCTTTATCATTGCATTAAAGAGTTTTCTGGAGTGCCCATAGTCGCCAACATCAACTCCAGCAGCATATAACTCTGCTAGCCTTGTCTCATAATGTAGAGCTGCAGATTTTGATTTTACAACTCCCAATGCTGTCCTTAATTGGTTTTTTACTACCAATGACCGTCTTTTTTCTCCTTTTCTCAATAATTTTGCATGCTGTAAGGCCATTAGATGCCCCTCTGAGGACAAATGTTTCTGTAGCTTGAACTTCAAATCAAACCATTTTTGGCAATGTCCAAAACACAAGTTTGAATAGGTGTCAAAACTGAGAGTGAGTCCAGTTGCTAATGACCCAGCAGATGAAATATTACCTCTTCTCGAAGGAGGTCTCTTGTCATATGGGCTTGCAATAAAACTGCTGCATGGGGTACATTTGAGAATGTGACCCATGCCTTCGTCTTTAATAACTTTAAAGTCTGGGAAGTTTTCCAAAAACTCATTTAAATTTGAGGAATTTAATTTCGTATCAACAGTACTGGATGATGTTTTTGGCCCATTCTTCTGAATTATTTTGGCAACCTTCTCAGCAATTAGATTGGCAACAGAGTCAAACGAACTTTCATCAGTACCAATTGATTGTTGTTTAGGAACTGCAGAGGGCAACAAAGATTCCAAAGTTTCCTGATACAGATCTGATTTCTTTGTTATATCCTCATTTGTTTCGAGATGAGTCCTGTAAGTAACATGAGAAAAAAGAAATTTGTAAGTCAAGCTCTATAAGAAAGGTCAACAAAATACGAGAAACAATAAAGAAGAATTTGGTATTCAAATGATAAACTTACATTGGCGATTTTGATAAAAATGTTGATTCTTCTGCCAGACTGGCTGTTAGCTCAGAGTCATTCCTGTTAAAAAGTTATATGCATAAATATTGTGCTGAGAAATTTTTTTCATCCTAGAATAAATTTTTGGAAAAAAATTAGGTTATATTTTAGCACATTTTACACATTTATATATTTGTTTGTGGGTACTGGTAAAAACATCCAAAAAAGGTCTCAATGTGGCTGCGAGGCACGTTTGCGAATTCTGATTGGCTCATGGGGTATGGAGGGTTTTGGTCGCTCAGCCAATTAAAGAGTTGGAACCCATGTTTGCTGAGAAGTCAATTAAAGAACAGGTGCCTATAGTTTGTGGAATGCATGTATTAAAATAAACAATGATATCACTTTCACAGAAACTTTGTAATTTTATGTTTTCATACAAAAATTCATCTGTTTAATATGTCACACAGATAACAACAGGTATATCGATCATGTTACCCAATATTTGCAAAATTTGTAGTTCAAATATGCAGAGGGCATACCAAAATTCGGAATTAGTATATTTTAGGAATTTTGCTTTTAAAGTAACTTCAAGACAATACTTTATGGAAAGGCAAGCAATCTATATCCTCTGAGGTCAAAACACATTTTTCCTTATGATACATGGAATTGTATTAAAACAACTAAAATCTGCAAAAATTGATATTTTTCAATAAGAAGAAAATCCATACACTTTACTGATAACATCCGTGCCTTCTTCAGTTGAAGATTTTTGCGAAGGTTTGGACTCTTTCCACACTTTTAAATTTTCACTGAGGAAGGAAAGAATGATAATCAACAACACAGTAAGAAACATGAAAAAGCTCTCAAATATCAGATAAAAGGGAAGTATAGAGCCAGTTTGTTAAACTTTTAAACATGGTTTGAACAAATTCAGAGGGAAATTTTAAAGTTCAAAGTGTGCAAACTGTTTTCTCAAATGTGGGATATTTATCTTTGGAATGCAAGTCACATACATAGCAATCTTGGTGTAGATAGATGACCTTACAAACTTTCACCTGATTTTAAGCTTGCTTATCTCTGAATATTTTCTCATTGCCTCAGCAGCAGCAATTGCATTTCCTGGAACAATGTCTTTGGAAGAAATATTGTGATTTCCATGGGAAGTCTCCATATGCTTCTTCACTGTTGATTGATTAAATCTGCTTAGCCAGAACTTTGGTTTTTGATCTTGAAAACATTTCAAGCAAATGGCAATTTGAGTTGTTTCATATCCAGATCTGACCCTTTTTGGCTTTACTTCAAAGATGGAGTCTTTGGGTTGTCTTTTGAAATGCTGAAGGAAGGCTAAAAGTTTTGCATAATTATTACACATCTATATATATAATCCAAAATAATTATATGAGAAATTTCTATTGTGTGCAAAAATTAAATGTAAATCAAAGTTCTGTTATTGAATACAAATTTTGATGCTAACCCAAATATTTAGTTACAACAAAGGAGTTTCAGCTTACATTTAACAGCACCTCCAGAAGAATCATTTGACGCAGCTGAGGAAGAACAGTTTTTACATATGACTGCAGACCCATACCCCTCCTCTCCATCAGTTTTTCCACATGGTTTAATTGAGTGGCATGGTTTTTTACATATTTTACACCAATGTGAGCCACATTCTCTTTTGCAAATAGTACAAACAATTTCTGAAAGTGTAAAAGCATTATGGTAGAAAAAGAGTAAGTCATAAGTGGAAATGATTGAACAGGGAAAAAGCTAAAAAACAATATACACATCCAGCAAAAACCTCTTTGATTTTGGATATCGGTCGTTATTCCGACCACTGATAGTATGCCTAAAATGTCTCCTCGTTTTTAGAAACAGCTACATCTACATATTAATCAGAAAGATCCTTAAGGCGTCACCATGATGGAATCAAACTCACAAGCCATAGAAGTGGCGAGAGGGTATAAAATTTAAATGTATGGGAATTGGCGCTGGAGGAAAATTTTGAATAGAAGTTTGATGTAAATTCAAGAAAGGTAACTTACCATCCATATAAGCATCTATTCGGACTTTCTCCAAAACGCTTTATCGAAATCCAGATATCAAATAAAACACGAAACCATAGCGAATTTGATGGTGATCACGGTTGCTAAGCTGTAATGGCGGGCAAAACAACAAACCGTTTCCTCTCATGGGGCCCAGATTCCTAAGCACGCATATTTGTTGTTGGTGCTGTTCCTGGCATGGCATTGTTGTGGTGTGAAAACAACGTCGAAGTTACACCATAAAGTTGTGGAAAGATCTTTATCACTTGTTTGCGCGGCCACATTCACGTTTGATGAGTTTGCGCGGCCACAGTCGTGTTTGAATAATTTGCGCGGCCAATTTCGAAAAGCGCGCAGACAGGTGCGCGGGCAAGATATTGCGGGCGCGCACCAAAGTTTCCAGTCTGGGCAGTTAGTATTGTGACATCAAAACTGTAAATTAAAATCAATGCAGAAAGCGTCAAATACACAGATGCAAGTTAATCGGTGGGTTTCAGCCAAAAGCAGGTACCACGGAAGTGGGGGGCTTTAGCCCCCCCCCAATACTTTCAAAAATGTACATACAACCATACAGAAAATTGCTTTGCTCTTGGTTTTTAACCTGTTTAGCTCCGCCCCCCCTCTCCCCAAAAAAACGATTTAGCCCCCTAAATCTGTAATGTGCTCCACGGTCCTTGGCCACAAGAATTATCGACTTCATACATCATAACCATCACCATCATGATTCATGAATGTATCATAATATCATCAAAATGGTGTTGGATCTTCTTTCTTACGGATCTTTTTTCAAGTTAAATTGTTGCATTGTTTTCAAATCCAAAATTATTTGAATAGCTCTTGACACCATACAAACACTTATTACCTCCACATTGTGATTTTCCTTGAATATAATGAGCCATTTCAATCTCTTTTTCTTGAGACATTGTATCAAGTGTTAAGCCGCCATTTTTTACAAAACACCAATTAAAGAGAGAGGCAAGGACATTGGAGAGAGGCTGAAGTGACACAACACAACAGCAAAGAATTATCAGCTGATACCTCAATGATATATTTAATATGGCTGGCTTTCAAAAAAACGGGGAAATAGCTAAAAATGGGAAATCGCGTGAAGCAAATGGGTTAGATAATCACGATGATTTAGAGGATGACGAAGGTAAGTTTATTTCAGACATATTTGTTTAGCTATTTTAGGCACTGATGCAATAAAGTCGCGTTTCGCCGCCCTTCTAAGGGTTTTGCCACCCTTATATCAAATATTATGGGCTTGTACTAAATAAATGAACCTTTATTTCTCAACAGACGGTCTTTTGCAGGAAGAAAATTTTTTTGCAAAATATTTGTACATGATGAATTTGCCTCAAAAATCTGGTTCTACATATAGCATTTATCATTTTTTGAAGCAGCAAGGAAAGAACCAAAAGTATCTCTAATAATAACAAACTGAGCTATTAATAATTACGTTAATAATGCTATAGATATACGTACATAAGAAACCAACGGTTAAAGATTGTTAAAGCAATTGTGAAGACTTATATTCGCATCCCTGTGGAAATAAATCTTTATAATAAATCACCAAACCAGCTGGTAGCTTGATATAGGCATGGTTAAGCAATGTTTAGTAAAGGCTATTAAGTTGTGTGAATTGGCATGCAAAGAAGCATGATACTAAAGCATGTACACCTCTCAGATTGGAATCTTTGTTTCTTGAGCAGACTAATTCTTTTTGAATTTATAAAACTGTGCACTTAGAATCAGGCACATTCAGAAATTTTCTGTCTGTGCACAGAACAGAGTAACAGAACCAGTAAATTGATACCACTTTATAAGAAACTTAAGCGCACATCATTTGATCTTACCCAAACTTCATTACAATGATCATGATCTAATTGATACTGACATTATCTCATGTCAATGGTTATGGGCAATGGTTATGGAGGTCTTTTTACACTAAATGGAACTACACATCTATTGTCAAATTTGAGGTATTTTACATAGCCAATATGCAAAAGCAAGCAGATAGGAAATTTTCATGCACATCAAAACTATTGCAGGCACACAACAAGGTTTCTAGTGCGCACCTAATGGCACAACCTTTCTACAAAAGCCTGGTATACCACACAGGAAGAAATTTGTACATTAACTTCCCTTTTTATTTGATATAACAGTTTTTCTTTCATCCATAACCCTCCAAAGCTGAATTTACAATTCATCGCTGTTACAGACTATGAATCAATAAACAAAGAGCTAGACAGTATTAGTTCCTGTCTTGATGCACTAGAAAACCAAAGCACAAATTTACATGAAAAAGTAAAAGAATTTTTGGAAAGTGTCAAAGACAGAAGTGGTGCTGGAGAGGAAAACAAAGGTGGTCTTGAATCAAATAGTGGAAGCTAGAAGCAATCATGATGGCTTGAATAATGGTAACAAAAAAAGGACTTGACAAAAATTATTGAAATTTATCTTTTTATTCTCATCAAATTTTATATTTTGTTTTGTATATAAATATTAATGAAATGAAAAATATGCCTTAATATTTGCCTCAAACCTGTAGAATGTTTTTTTCTATTGCGATAAGAGTATTTTTGCAGTATAATAGGAGGGGCACTTCTTTTGCTATTCTTGAAGTGCATTGATCAGAGGATTTACTTTGTACATACTTTTTTGCTTAGCACATCTAAGTTTGACTGAATAAAATTTTGTCTGGAGATCTGTCTGGAGTTTGACTGAATAAAATAGCTATTTCTAGAGATTTCCTCTTGCTGCCATCCACTTTTACAGCTTAAGGCTTTGATTTTGCTTTTATTGCAGATACTACTCAATAATCCAACTAAAGAACTGTGCTGTTTTGTTTACATTTACTTTTTAAGCCTATTTCAGTGCAGCCAGTCTCGGTTGTTTTTGTTATGCTGGTCAAAACATTGAATCATTGAATTTTCAAAGCAATTATCATTCAGGATGGCTTTCATAGTGGAAGCAAGCATAGATGAATCAAGACAAAAAACCAAAGTTTATGTTTGAATACCCAGTTTAACCGCTTTTTATTGTTAACATTAAACATTAAATTTGGTTTGTCAAGGTATCGAAACAAAAATCTAATTGAGAAAATGTCATTTTCTATTAATAATCTTTATTGAGCAAGATGAACCGGTAATTTTTCAACAGAACTAGCAAGTTTACGGTCCTTAAAGTTATTCTAACCTTAATCCCATTCTTAAGTGTGATTGACAATAACAAAAAAATTTCTTGATCTGCACCTGCTAATCACAAGATAGAATAAGATTTTCTGGTAAGTTTTCAGACAGTTTTTTATGTTATTCACCTTCCGAGTAGGGTTTGTCAACTTTTTGTGACATTTTTCCAGGTCTGGTTTTTCCATTGTAGCTTTTTCTATGTGACAATAAAACATCAAATGTGGCCTTAAGTTGTACTGCAGAATGAACTCTTTCACACACACAAACTAAAAATGCTTTAAGAAAATATAGACAGCAGTCAAAAAAAAAGAAACACTCTTCATTCATATCTTATTAGAAACAAAAATAATTTCAATACTAAAATTTAGGCATCTGCCTCTTTTAGATTCTCTATTGCATGTTTGATTTTCTCAACCTCTGTAGTTAACTGTGTTGCCTGTAAAATTAAGAAAACAAGGCGTTATTGATTTTTGACAGTTTGTGGTGATATTCTGTAAAGTGCTAGAAGCAATGTGAAAACCATTTTATGACTTTAATCCAAAAAGTAACAATTGTTTAACATTAACTGCAAGTGAATAAGCATTGCTTTTACCATTGCTATTTCTTTGAGTAGCACACTTCAAAACCTATAAATGTTGCATCCTGCTAATGCCAAAGTTTTAAGACAAGATTTTATAAAAAAATTATTATTGAACTTCAAATACCAATACCTTTTCGCAGTTCTGCTGTCTTACAGAATCTGGGACCTGTAACAAAAATTCAGTTTGTATTCAATTGATAGTGACTAAATATGTAAACAACAAATTACACAGCCAGGGTCCTCTGTACAATTTTTAATTCTATACACTCTTGGGGCATTAAGGGACATCTCTTATATCAGATTCTGCATTATATTTCACTTCAATTAAATCAGTTTTCATGTTGTGAACCAATAAGTGATGACATTTTGAATCCTGAAATGCAGATGGGGGGTTTATCAACAAGCAAATGTAGGCTAGGGAAATGTCCATGATGATCAAGACATTAATTAGTGAAGATAATGCAAGGACAATTTTACAAACGAGACAAAAGAATGAAATAAAAAATGTCTTACTTCTTCTAGTTTTGGCAATTGAAGTTTTGGATCTTGTTTCAGAAATATCTCTGTTTTAATAAAACTTAATGAATCAACCAACCTTCTTTTCATAGTCGTCTATCTTCATGGCCTCCATCAATTTTGACAATTGGGCTTCTGTCTTTTCTAACTTATTATCTAATTTAGAGATTTCTTTTCCAATATCAACCAGCCCCTTAAAAAAATTTGTATAAAAATTCTAAAAGAATTATTCTATAAAACATGAGCTGATCAAAACTAGATAATTTAATTTAAAAATATGACTAAGTGCACAACTAGGCCTGAGACAAAATAAAAAATGCAGATGCAGCTGTTCTATCCCCCTTGAATTGGTGTAAAGCACTTTTAAGTAAAGATCACTTTTGAGGATTCACTTAAATTCAACCTTCTGGGCAAAAAATTATATTTTAATATTTCACAAACATCTCTTAGAGCTTTTTGATACAGATAAACTAGTCAAATCCCACAGTAATTCCATTCATTTGAGTTACCGTCAGAACTATCTTTGCACGAATAATGCATTTAAAATTGAATAATGCATGTTTAAGGCAAAATGTCTCTGAAAAAAACAAGAAAATTTAAGTGTCTAGAAAGCAAATTAGAAGGTAACCTTTATATGCAAGTGAACTTCACACTTTTCACCAACTAAAGCAACAGCACATCCCTTTGGTATAGGATCACCCATGTTCAAGATGTGCACACTGCAATAAATTAGACACCATCAATGATAAATTCATTACTATTTTTAAAAAACTCTTAACAGTTATGTTGAAAGGCTTATATATAAATATTTTATACAAATATTAGGTGTTATTGTAAGGAAGTTGTCACAAGTTGGCATTTAACTTCTGTCTACTAATCGCAAATTTGGCAAATGGTACAGGATAAACACATTTCTGAAGGAAAAAGATATTAAATAGAATAGACAAGCTATAGTCACTGTTAGCTGAAAATTGTTGTGTCTGGGCTGAAAGACTATATCTTTTATGTCAAAGGAAAGGCAACCTTCACAAATCTACCATGACAGAAAAATGAACTGTTATCTAGAGCTGGTGGAAACGTGCAAATACATCTGCTGCTTTCGCTGATGAGGAAGACAGACAAACAGAACTTAATGTTTGCCCATAGCTTTAAAAATTATTTTGATGTTGAGGGAAGCAGATCCTTATGTTTGGTTATTTTCACACAGTAATCTAGGCTTAAAAGCAGCATTATAGTTACTTTGATTAGAGAAGTTGATACATTTTAGAAACTAAGTTTGTCATTGTAGAGAAATTGATGAGGCAGGGGAAGAGGATGTTGGGAACGACTTTGGTGCCAAAAAGTTTATAACCATTATAACATAATATCTAACAGATAGGATTTTGTTTATCCTCAACGCTATGGAATGTTGTAATAACTTTTGCTGCAATTGAATAGCAAAATATCACCTTAAAACCCACGACTATTAACATTTTTGTATAACTGCCCAATAATTTTAAACCCAGACCATTACTATAATGGAATTATTGAAATACTCACTCAGCTGAATTTGTCAGAGTTTTTACAGTCTCCATCAATGTAATTATTATGTTTGTAACATCCTCTGAATGAGGCCTCAGGTAAACTGAATCAAAAAACAAAACAAACTTTTTGTAAGGAGCTTTGGGAAAGTTAAGAAATTATTCAGAAGTACAAAAACAGAAACTATTCTTTAAAAGTATCCTAGTGTGTTAACAAATAAATATGTTTCAAATTATGAAGATGAATGCTTCATGAATGACAGTTGAGATATGAAAGACCCTTTTTCTGGTTAAATGTATGTTAGTCATAAATCAAGTGATCTCTATTAAGAAATAGATATATTTGCAAGAGTTTCAAACAATCTATACAATTTTGTTGATGAATACTACATGTGGGAATTTAATGAAAACAGTGGGAGTGAAAGTCTTTCAGAATCAATAATTTATATAAAAATGAATACCATCTGCTTTTGCTCTGGTTGTCAAGTACTCTTCCTTAATAGAGCGCATTGTTTTCACAATCTCCAACATCACTTCAACTTTCTTTTCAACATCATCATTGTGCCATGGATGCTGCAGAAAAACATTTTTCTAAAACGCTTCACACAACTAACAAGCACAATAAATAAACAAGCAGCCCTGGGAATTCAGCAGAAATGCTTGTTATCATTGCCAAAAGCTTTTCCATGAAGTTGAAATGACTGTAACAACAGAGGGCTGTGAAATAAATAATAACAATAATATATAAATTTTCAACATGTTCAAGTTTCCTTTTGCTTTGTTGATCTCTTTTCTTGATATCTGATATTGAAGGAGGATTATGTGGAACTATATTAACATGATTTGGAAATTTTTCCAAACTTTGTACAATCAAAACATTGATCTCTGTTTAATTTTTGAATAACTGATTGCTGTCTCTGAGGTGATTTGTAAAAAAATTGACTTTATCAAGCTTGTTTTGTTGAATGCTTTTGATTGTTGATTTTCAAAACTTTGCAAGTGTTATACAAAAAAGGAAAAATGATGAAGAAACAAATATGCTTAATTGCTAAAAAGAATGAAAGTAGCACTAGTTTTGACCGTTTTTACACCACTCATTTATAAAAAATGATGGCCATGAAACAACTTTCAATCATTTTATGAAAGCCACATGGAGTTATGGTTTATTTAATTATTGTGGAGCCATTCATACATTTGTACTTTTAAAAGCAGGAATGTAAAAATATGTCAAAGATTTGCGGCATGTCAAAAAGGGATACCAAATAGGAACATGCAGGGGGTATTTTTTTGACAAAGGCACTTTCATAAAAATAGGGTGCACAGGGATATTCGCTTCTGGTTCATAGGCCATTGTTACCAAGACAGTCTTGAAATCTATAATCACCGCCAAAAGTCCTGAAACACTGACTTAAGTTTTGGAAGGCAAATTCAGCCACCCCATCTCACCCTAAGAACAATGTTGATTCACTATAGAAAAATGAAAGGGGTTATGGAGTACACTTTTCTTGTGGCTTGTTTGATATTTTTCTATACTTTCAACATTGTTTTGAGGGAAAAGGGGGATGGAAGTAGTAATATCCGGGAAAACAAATGAAAAATAAAAAAGCACAGCGCAAAGTGTTGAGTGTTCCAAGTAATTTTGGAAGTGATTGTATTCTTGTAAAGATTAAGAGAAGCAAAGGGATGATCTTACCTTGTGTGGGTAGTCTGTGGTACAGATACTTGATGCGGATGTGCCAGTTTCCAATGGAAGCCTTTGAAACAATTCTTCTGTGATAAATGGCATAAAGGGACTTAGTAGCCGCAAACCATTGCTGAGACAGATATATCTAGTAGTGGTCAAGGGCCAGCCAAGTGTATTGTCAAATAACAATGCATTGTGATGTGATAAGGTTTGCATACAGCATTATTTTTATGATTAACACCAATTAACAAATGGTATAAACAAAAATGTACAAACTATAACAAGAAAGAGTATGTCATTTATACAATAAACTTAGTTTTATAAATCGGTTTGACTTGTCAATTTACTTAATAAAGCTTTAGATACTGTGAAAACTGTGGACTAGTTAAATATCTGATAAGAGAAATGTTAAAAAACAGGCACTTTTGCTTAAAATATTTTTCAAAAAGAAATTGTACATTAAACATTAATATATCAGATCTTGAACAATACTGATTTCTCTTTAGAAGAATAAGGTGATAGGTTTGTTCCAACATATCGCTTTGGAAACAACGTAATCTCTAAATGATCTAAAAAATTGCAAATTACACAGCTTAGATCGCATAACTGGCGTCGGCACAAAAGTCCTATTAATAATAAAGTTAATTCTGGAATACTCTGGAACATCCTCCTACAGAACTTATCAGTTTTTTGCCAGCTTTTTGAAGCTCATTTGGCACTAATGAAAACATTCATAATGAAATGCAAAATACCAAAACTCTGTTCTGCAGATGCTGCAAAAAACAGCTGCTGTGCACATATATTATTTCAACACTGAAACGTTCAAAATATAAACTTGTAATAATCAAAACATGTTTTGTGTCGATTGCTTAACCAATAAAATAAAATGACCCTAAACAAATACTGAGTTCCAAGCTGCCATTATCTGGTACTGCCTCCCTGGTACTAATCTTTTAGACAGCGTTTTTAACATTAATCAAGTCAAACTTTCTGACATAAAACTGCAAATAAAATGATAGCCATGTCTAACTTTTTATCAATGTTAATATAGTTATTTATTACGTCAGGTATCTAGCAAAAACGTAAATGATACCCATCTTAAAACCATTCTTACTAAAAGGCTACCTTGTCCCAAAATTGGCACAACCCAAAGAAATGGCTTGAAAGATGTAGGAATCACCCAAAACCGCTAGTGTCGTCTTGACGTAAGTGGCGTCTTGACGAAGAGGAGATTTTCCATGAACGACCTTTCGTGTTCATAACACCATATAAAAGACAAGGTGAACATGCACAACGTGAAAGTCTAAGGGGATCTAAAATAAAGGTAAATAATCGAAGGATACAAGACATTTTTCGCTGCGTTTGTAGCACAGGCATCACTGCCGTTGAAAACAGGCTTCAAAGCTTCCTGCAATGATAAAAAGATTTCCGCATGGCAATTAAATCAGCTCTGAAAATAAATGAGTCTGTGAATAGCACAACGATAGCCTTGTCATAATAATCACAGATAGCTGAGTTGAATATAATACATAGTTATGAATACTATTAGCCTAACGTCAAGACGTATGTATACCATTAGCCTAAAAAAAGGTATCAACAAGCGAATTGTCCTAAATCTAAAATCCATTGATAAAGGGTTGCGACACATGGGCCTTATAGTTAGTTTTGCAAGAAATTCTACAGTTTTAAGTTTATTAACAATTTAATTAACAGTTGTAAGGACACGTGAATAGACCTACAAAAGCAAGAATCTTATAGGATTCCTAAAAGCTTTGAACAGGCAACAGCTTCAGATTCAATTGGTTTTCTTAGCCATTTTCAGATGCTTATGTTATTTAGATGTGATACATCTTTCAAACAATCATTTTCTTAAAAAAATGTTAAGAAATTCAACGGTTATCATAACATAGAAAAGGAATAATATTATAGAAAGAATACATCAAATAAAAATGCAATCAGCGCTTTGTCAAGACTACTAAGCTACAAAACCTAGTCAGAGATCAATATAATTTTACAAAACGAACACTTAACATTCTTTAAAAACATAACCGAGAAACAGAAAAGTAAAATCGCAAATATTACAATCTAAAAATACTTCTACCTGCCATTAGAAAAAATATAAATTTAGTTAAGAACTTTGTTTAGAAAATACTTTCTTTAAAAAACACGGAATACGAAAAAGGAGACAGAAAAGAGGTCTTTAGCTTTTTCTGGCTTTTAATTTCAACAAACAGTTAAACCACAGAAAAAGAAATAAGGAACAACATGATGCGTTGTGAGAAAAACATAAAGACATCGCACAATAAACTTTGGTTTGCATCCTCATATTTCGCCCCCAGCATGAATCTTATCAAACTGAAAAACTGCATTATAGATTATGAAATCAGAAAAACTTTTGGCTGCCGGTCTGTCTGTCTGGAAAATACCTCTAGTGAACTTTAGGCGAAGTGAAGTTCGAGGTAGTAACGACAAATTGAAGGACGAAAATTTGCGGAAAACAAATACAGGCAAGATAGAAGCACTGTAAAATTACAGGAAATTTTCAAGGCCCACGTGAAATTGCTGTACAGTTTTATATGGATGTAGAAAAAATTGTCCTCCACGCGTTCTTAAGTCGCATACTTATATAATTATTTTTGAGATAAACCTTTCCAAATAGAACCTGCCTTTTGAAAAATGTGAATTTGAAATCAGAATTAAAAACGCCTTGAAGTAGCAGGTGAAATGGTAGCATTATAAATTCAAATTCGATTTCTAATGGGGATGTCCTTTCCTCAGGGGGTAAATTGTCGTGAAAACGCTTTGGAACAAATTATCTTAATTAGTGAAAATCTGATCAACAAAAAACGTCGAGAAAACAGTGAAATCTTATAAAAGACACCATTTTTTTGAAAGTATGGTTTCAATTTAGGTCCTTATAAAACCATTTTAAAAATTAATAAAAGGAGATAAATAATATACTGATACTCTGCTTTAAACGTTTTCACTGCATCCATTATAAACAAAGGTCAGAGTGTATAAAATCTAAACCGTGAACGGGTTAAGATCCTTTGAAAGCGAAGAACTAAATTTCTATCTTTAAATCCAACGAAAATACAACAAATGACACGATAGTCAAATTCAAAACAAACCCAAACAAAGATTTATGAAACTTCAAGAAAGACAGGAAAATTCTCAAAACTAAGGACGAAAAATTATCGTATATATTCGTTTTTCACCAAACGTCACTTTGTGTACAGCTGAAGAAGATTTGCAAAGAAATGGAATTTTGGTTTATCATTCGAAGTGATCGTGAAAAATCCATGCAAAATAATGTTGGCGGTTGCAGCAATTAAAATGTTGCGCAAGTTAACTCTCTTATGTAACTTAAGATATGAGTTATTTAACAATAAAAGGCAGTGTTTTTAGCTTAAAGACCAGCCACCCCCTACGAAGCCCGCTACACGGGCACGGGCACGGGCACCAGATAACCATGACACATATTACAAAGATTAGCCTCGGAAAGACAAGCGGTGTATTAATCTCGATTTGAAAATAATTAAATCCACACAGGACATGTGATAAAAAAAATTATTTGCACTCTTGTGACTATCGATAGGAAGGGGGGAGCCTCTACCCCCTTTCTATCTCAGGCTCCCCCCTTCCTAGCGATAGTCACAGGAGTGCGAATCTTATTTTTATCACGTGCCCTGTGCGGATCTAATCATTTTCAAATCAAGGCTAATAAATGATATAGAAACACCGCTTGTCTTTCCGAGGCTTATCTTTGTAATACATGTCAGGGTAATCGGGTGCCCGCGTAGCGGGCTTTGTAGGGGGGCTAGTCTTCCGTTCATTGAAATGTGCATATCAATTTGATAGGCAAAATTGAAAGTTACCTCAATACATTATGTATGCCATGGTCTACCTGTGGTCTTCGTTTATATATTTCAAGGGTTTACCCTCTGAAGCTCTCCTGTTTATGCAGATTTCAATGTTTAAGTTTTCGAACAATATGTTTCGTTTAGCCCTCGATGACTCGTGTGGCTGGTTTTAATATTTAACGGCCAATCTAAAAGCTCTTTTCATTATTTTGATTTGCGGTCAAAATCCGTCAAAAATTCATTTCTGTTCACCCCCGCCTATTTTTGGTCCTCGTTGAACATTTTCACGGTTGCTCCCAGAAGTTCTCCCATTCATAGAGAACCCAATGTTGAAGTTTTCTAGCCATAAACTTCAAGCCTTTGTTGACTGATGGGATAAAGGTTTTTCAATTGAATATTTTTATGGTTGTCACAAAAATTTACTGTCTATTCCGAGTCCCTTCTTTGAGCTGTAGAAACCTTCGTCAACTCGCGGTTTTTCGCAAAACATGTTCGGATATTACGCTTGCCCCACACTTCAAGAAATGTTCAAGCTTCCAAGAATAGTAGCTTCCAAGGAAACTACTGAATCATAGCCAAATTCTAGTAGCAAAGAGCAACACCGCAGTAATACAGCACACAGCAGTTTGAGAAAAGTAACGTTCACGATTACTCAGGATCGAGGAGAAATGCCAACTCGCGGCGCAATAACTCATACATAATTGCTCAAGAGAGAGAGAGAGAGAGAGAGAAATCATCTTGAAAAGGTTCTGAGAAAAGAGAAGAATTAGATTTTTAAAAATTCCAGGAAGCTGTTGAAAAACTGAAAAAGTCTTTCAATAGAATTACCATAAATGAGCTAAGGTGGACAATGACAGGTGAGGTAACGAAGAAAAATGTCACATATCAAAAGAACTAAGGCAAAATCGATAAACGAAGACATTTCGGGGAAGGCTCACTGCCACGGGATCAGGGAAATCAGGTGAGAGGCGTGTCCGATTTATATATAGCCTGATTTAGCCTGAATGCCGTCAACATTGATTGATTTGCATAGTAACATATAAGTTATGTTAGAAAAACTCAGACACAAAGAGATTAAAAGCGGATTAGAGCAATGCTGTCGCATGTTTCTATTATAATAGAACTTTTAGTTTTGGGTGAGATATTGATATCATCATGATTAAACCTTCTTATACCTAGAGGCCTAGCATAATCAATACAATAAATCCATTCTAAACTTTTAATATGAAACTCTTTTTCTGGTGTTATATTGATGCTGTGGAAAGTGTCTTAGGGCCACATATTCTATGCATTCTTATCTTGCTAAGCTACTGCCAATCTTAACATGTAATTAACAAAACAACGCAACGTCGATTGTCTGTTTTAGGAGGTTCATGGACAGTAGATAGCTAAACAGTCAAACTTTGGTACACTTACATCGAATATTCTATTAACCTATGCAGGAAATTGATGAAAAAGTAAAAGTGTAATAGAGTAAGAGTAGGCACAACTAGCTTGAATACAATTTTAAACCAGTTTTACTGTATGCGTTTTACTGGATGTGATATACATTGCACAACTCATTTCCTTGCGGAAGGTTTAAAAGCGTTCTGAAAATAACCACATCTACAAATCTATTTTTCATGATTGAAAACCTCTTATTAGGAGCTGTCAATCTTAGCCAGTCAATTTTACGCATCTTTGCTTTGAATATGTATATAAATTCGAGACAAAATATTTACATATATGTCAGTATAATACTTCGAGATATAACTTAATCTCGAAATATAACGCTATGAACAATTATTGACTCGATTACTGAAATCAAAATCCTGTTTTGGCACTTGATACTATTCATCACATCAGCGCAATCTTAGATTTCAGCCCAATCTCAGTTTCAGTTTTCAACGTAATCTTAATTTTCAGCGCAATCCTAGATTTAAGCGCAAACTAAAACGAAACACAATTTCAATAAGAAACGTCTGCCATGACAACAAGATAATACTCACCAGGTAAACATCACAAAGCTCATACAACCAGAAATTGTAAATTGCTGTTGTAGTTTTAACGAAATCGTACGTTTCAAAACCGACATTCGACGCATCGACAGCGTAGCTGAGTCTGCTAAGAATCCATTGATCCATCAAAGATTCGTTTCCGAGAGTCTAAACGAAAGAAAATCAAATGATTTTAAGACAATGGAAAAAAGGATGATGAACAGTTTTCCGGACTCTTTTGTGCATATGCAGAGAAGCATCGGTTTAAAAAGAGGCAGCCACAATCACTATTTGTTTCTTTATCAAAAAGGCATATTAGAAAGCAAGAACGTATCATGATCAAAAGCGTCGAGAGGTGACTGAGGTAAAAATGTCAGGGCCAACGAACAGCTATGTCTGTATAGGATAATACGTATTAAGTATCTATTTTGCGTTAAACCCATGTGCCCCTTCCCCCCCCCCCCCTAAACATTGGTATTATTTACGTTTATGGCCAGTACCCAAAGGCCGTCTCCCAAAAGAAGCATAAAAAACCTTATCGATTTACTGGGGCTCGATGGCGATTTGGATGGTAATGTCTTGGATCAAGGTACGCCCAGGAACATAAAGTCTCAAGCAAAGTATGTGAAAAGGTTTGAAATAAATCTTTAAGACAGAAATTAATTTCATGTTTGAGAGCTTAGAGGAAATAAAAGTACTTACCTCCTGGCCTTGCGGTTTGAAATCCTCTCCAAGGTTCTTCAAGGCAAATTTTGTTGCGTTCCATATTTTGTTGCAAAATCGCCGGTACCCTTGAACTCTTAAAACGTCTAAATTAACATCTCTGCCTACAAAAAAGCAAAATATTATATTATTTTCCAACTCTTTGATTGCTAATAACAAGATGATGAAATGGATAATTTGCCAACATCCTAAACAGACATACACATGGTGAATGCCAAGCTCTTATGTTCAGAGTATCCAGCATTTTAAATCGATCAATTGGTCCAAAATATTCTATGTGTCTATTTCGCTCGATCACGCACCATTTCATCCAATTCGACTCTTAACAGCAATTAAGCTGTTCTTATAACATAAAGCTGATCAAAAATGCATGAAATAACCATAACTTGGAAAACATATTGCTGAATAAGTGCTGGTACTCGGCATGCTTTGTGAAGGAACTGACATCCCAAAGCTCTTGGCAATCGAGCAAATCGACAAATTAAAACACTGAATGAAGAAAAGTTCGAAAAAACACTTCAAACTAAAAGAAATCATCCACGATGGTTCAGTTCTTGCCAGACACATCAAGAAAATTATCGCAAGAGACACATTTCAATGTGGTCAACTTTCTATCAAAAATATACGAGTTTAAGGTAATAGAAAAGAAACAGTTTGATAAGTCACTATGCAGGAGCTAAATGACTGACAGTATTCAAGGGTGACGTAATTGCAGTACTTGCAACAACGACCAGGGCCTGTCAAACAGAGTAAGTTCTATTACAAGATATAAATCCGATTACAGCTCCGAGCTGTATTTTATGAATACTGCAATTTGCCGTTATGAGATACCGCTGAGAACTGAGATACCTACACTTTTTACCAAACTATGCTCTTACAAAGAACCATCGTACCTGCTTCCTTAATGGTATTAATATTTAAATTGACAAATCGGCAATTAGCATTACAGATATCAAGTAAGTAGCACCTACGAAATATCAGTTACCAGTCCTTACCTTGCCCGGTATATGCACACAGTGCAAATCTCAGTGCGTCTGTACCACATTCTGGAATACCTTGTGGATAATCTTCTTTCTGCAAGTGAAAGAAAAGGCTTGATCTAGCAAAACTAAGTATTCCAGAAAAGGGGCAGTGCATGGCAACTTCACCGTCAATTTTATTAGGAAAATGCAACTTTGTTTTTCATGGGCAAAGGAGATACAAAATAAAGGCCCCAAAAGTTACATCTTGGAAGACACAATGCCCCACTTTTCTACTGAAGCGCCTGATGAGGGGTTTGAAAATGATAACGTTGCAAAATTCTTATATCATTTTCATTCCTGGGTTTAGGTGAAAATTATTTCTCTTGAAGTCGTACCTGGCCTTTCTTTGCTTTTTCCATTTCTTTTGGGTCCAAATTGTATTGGAGCAGCTGCTTATGAAGATTCTAAAGCGAATATATGAAATTGTCAATATCACGCAGTTTAATATTAGCGAACGTTGCAGATGAATGCTTATAATTGTACACAATGGTTAATTTTTTTGGTAAAATTTGTTTAGATTGGAGTTAAATTAAAGTTGATCAAAATCTTTATAAATATCAGTCAAATGCACAGCTTTCTGGAAGCAATGGAAACCGCTTTTTATTTCAGTACTCTTTAGAGTTCACAGCTACAATACGAGAGAAAACACACCTCTAAGTTGATGCCAGTAATCACGTCTACTGGGTCAATAATATTTCCAAGAGATTTACTCATCTTGCGCCCATGTGCGTCACGAACCATAGCATGTAAATAGATCTGAAGAAAGTGAAGATTGCATAAGAAAAGGAAACTTTACACAATGACTTCTAAATTCTTATGCATTTGAAGAAGTCGGACATTTCTCGAAAGACATTTTGTGTCAAGGGTCAACAAACGTTTCAACGCCGTAGCAATACAGGAAGAAAAATAGTCTATGGAAAGTATTGCTCTTTCAAAGCTAATACCTTTTCTGAAGCTTGCTGTAATATATATTGAAGATAAGAAAATCAAAGATTAATAAAGTGAAAAACCACCTTGAGAAATTGCTACATATTTCAGACAAACAAATTGACAACGTAGTCAAAACATTTTGCTTCTTCAGATGAAGTATTATATTTAAAAATTGAATTAAAATAGAAAATTTGCTAAATCAGAAAAGCATCAAAATTTTACGACTTAAAAAGAAGCACTCAAAGATGTTCAGCAGGCATCATTGTTCCAGCTTTTCATTAGATAACCCAAAAGGCGATATACTAATCAACTGGAATCAATTTGGAGGAAAGTCATACTTTCATTATCAGAATGCATTTATTGAATGACAATACCTCTTTGAAAGGCAACTCCCCGCACAACTTCTGGCCAAACATAACCATTCTTGCAACCCAAAAGAACAAAATATCATGGCCAGTTTCAAGCAGGGATGTTGGATAAAATGCCTTCAGATCTTTTGTCTGTCAATAAAAAAACAAATTCTTACAAATAAGCATGACTCCTTCTTCTATTTTGCTCTTTAAATCACTTCGTTACATTCCTTTCCGTCTTATGATAAAAAGAAAACATTTTCACAACCAGCCTTTTTAGCTTCAAATTAGAGTTTCTAAACACAGGTTTTAGGTTCTGAGAGAAAGTGGATAGTAACGCTTTAAATTGAAATGCCACATCAGAATAACTGGTTTGCTAGATCTACAAATTAACAACAGAGAAAACTGCATAACTCTTGAAAAATATCTCGAAACAAGGGTATCATCGAACGATTTTCGGACAACTAGGGCAAATTGTTACTTCTAATATTTCTTGAAATCAATATTAATACCGGAAACTTGTATGGATATTGTGCAATAATTTATTCTAATATATCCGTAACAGGTGAAAAAAGAAAGTAAGAATAAAGCCACAGAGCATAAATAATTCAAGACAAAAAGCGGTTTCAGGAAAAAAGAACATTTTTCCATGGCCAGAAACGTTGGTTGTCAGTCTCTTTTACGGTTGATTTACAAAAAAATCCAAACCTGGTCTGGCCAGCCGAAAATAGAAAACGGAAAGATGGCTGATGAAAACCAGGTGTCTAGTACATCCTCATCTAAAAATGAATGGAGGTGAAAACGAATTGTAGAGCTGAGGGCCTAGAGCACGGCTAAGCAGAGAATAAAGAAAAATTATAATGCTTGTTTTCCAACATTAAAATATACTACATTTTCAAAATGCTGTAAAGTACGTTCGAAATACAAGTTGAGTAATGTGTTCATGAAACTACTTGTGCGCAGATCACTGTACAGATCATCAAGCACTCTGCGAATGAAAATGTTAGCAGACTGAATGTAATTTTTATTGTATTATACATTTTTGTGACGTATATGCTATGTTATGTTGTTCAGCAAATGATTTTTTCAAACCATACCTTGCTTTAATTTAATATTTTCCTCGGCAACACCAAACTTCTTTGCTGCCTTTTCGCGCGCCTCTTGTTCACTGCGGCCACTACAAAAACAAAAACAGTGTCAAACAAATTGTTCACAAACAGAAGGGAAAAGGTTCGTTGACTTAAAGGGAAAGAGAAGAGAAAGATGTCAGAGATTTTGGTCTTTGGGGGACACGAGCCCCAAACAAAATTATGAGAACTATGGAGAGAGACAGAGCTTTGTCCTTTGTGTATGTCGGTTCCTATCTTTATGCCCCCTCTTACTGTAGGTCAAAAGAGCCAAAATACTTGCGATACGTTCTCTGACCCCGGGGGCTCGCTTAACGCACTGACTACCCGTGCCTATGTGCCTGCCAACAGGGTCTGATTTTCATTCCTGGACATGGTGATACTTTTTGTCTCTTATTCCGATACAGGTGTGCCCACTGAAGATAATTTTTAAAGGAGCAGGTGATATTTTTCATAAAAAATTTGTCCACTCCACTATGTCTATGAGCTCGAATCTGTCTATTATGCTCTATAAGCTCAAATCTGGAAAATCAAGAAAAGGTTTTTCCATATCAGTTTAATAAATGTATAACCACTAAAATTATGTTTAGGCAAACCATCAGCTTCCTGTTGTCTTATCCAAGAACAGGTATCATGTTTTTAGAATTTTATTCAAGAGCAGGTATCATTTTTACGCTTAATAATTTAATTCCAGGACAGGGGCACACCCAGGGTGTTATGAGCAACAAAATTGAGAGCAAAAATGCAATTGAAGAGGATATCATACTGCGCAACTAAAAACCAAATAAACGCTACAGTCAAAGTCATGGCGTTTGATTAAATTAATTTTGCAAAATGACAAAGAAGCGACCACGAAGGGACTCGAACCCTCAATCTTCTGATCCGAAGTCAGACGCCTTATCCATTAGGCCACGCGGCCAACGTTCATTAGGCAGGGGACCATTGTTTTTGGCAAGAAGAACAAGGGGTAGCTCTCTTACGTATGAGATAACTTCCTTGTTGGGATTACAGCATACTTCTTATACGATCTGTTTTATAAGAAACCCGCGAAATCCTTTTACACGAGTTTAAACCGCAATTTGGTATACATACCGCCCTCAGTCCGTTTGTTATTTGGCTTTTTTGGGTAAACAGGTAAAATTAGAAAAGGCCACGTTAATAAACAGGTGGATCAATGTCAATTTAATCTTTAATAAAATCCTGTTCATCATACAGCATTTTGGGGTTTATTCCTTTTCTGCAAATTATCTTTTGCCGGGGCATTCACAAAACCCACACTTAAGTTAATTCGTTTTTTGTGATGTTTTTGTAACTTTTTTAAAAATTCGTTCTTGGCTATATGGTGCATTTCCTCTAATCTCTGATAAACCGAGCAAGGCAGAAGCAAATTACACAGTGCATCTTGGCTTGGTCACAAAGTGTCATGAAACTTAAAACAAAATTGCTTGTGACCTACGAGAATCTAAAACAATTTTTACTTGACCATTTTTACTCTTTCCTGGTTATCAGAGCTGATAATTAATTACAAAACCTACCTAACCCAGAACTTGTCATCAGCATCCTACAAAAAAGGAGTCACCTTTAAAGTAATACCAAGGGCAATAAAACTACAAAATAAAAATATCAAAACCACTATGTTTAAGGAAATAGCAATCACTGATTACAAAAATCTATGAAACATTGACAGTCGTAAACATTGACAAAGTGATTGATGACCTGCTGGTGACGAGTGACGCTGCTGACGATCGCTCTGAAAGTAAAAGAGCTACTTCAAACCGATATGTTGGATATAAAGAGCATTTTGTAATACTGCTGCAAACATCTTAAGGAATTGTCAACATACATCTCCCTGCTTCCATTTTTCATCGTCGATAGACACAAAATAAGCAGGTATGCGATGACCCCACCATAACTGCCTTGAAATACACCAATCCCTGTGAAAAACAGAAAGCAAGGTTTCATTGGAAGTTATCAAGATCGACGTTGTCACTGACAGTGAACATTGAAAATGTGGACACATAAGAAAGTCAAAGACCCATATTTTGAGTTGTAGCCCCCCATCATAAATTTTGAAGTGAATCTTGTTGGACAAAACAATACTAATCTGTCAATCAAAAACATAACAAATCATGATTCTGAAAAGAAACACTTCTGTATGCTAGGAGGCAAAAACTTTCTCGTGCCCATAAAGGTTCATATGAGGAGTTCCATTATCGTTTTAAAAAAGGAGAATAATATTTACCAGAAAACTGAGGCTTGAGAATAACAGATTATTGCACAATGTTATATAATGCGAGGCTCGTAAATTTCATGGATTGACTGGGTCAATAGTAAAGATATAGTCTTTTGACTAACATATTTTAGTGACCTAGTAGGCGACTTAATCTAAGACGGTCAAAACAACGACTTCACTGATAATATACTCATAAAGTTTCAAAGAAACAGCCTGGATCTAAAGCAATCAAAATGGACAAAAAAGGGGGAGCACACAGCACAAATAGCAAAGACAACTGATGCCTGACAAAATCGAGGAAAGGGTAATTTAAAATCAACAACACAGTGAATTTGCTACAAGACAGTGTTATGCAGTGTCTCCAAAAAATATTGCCGTCATGTGTTGATGAGCCAAGGGAGGCAACCGCTTTCATCTATCCAAGTGAAAATGGCCTTTTTATAACCGCCTAAATATTTTTAGGAATGTTGCAAGAAAAGGTACAGATAGGTCTAAAGTGAAACTGCTGCCAAATTACAGATTAGATATCATTAAGTGATTGAGAATGCCTACACAAAACTAATTTATAAACTTGCATTGGACAGAATTCAATACTACTCCAGGACGAAATCTTTTTGAAAAGTCGGCATAACAAAAACAATGACTCTTGCTATTTAGAATCCTTTTTACTTCATGACGTCATCAGCACGTGTTGTTGTAAACTAAAGTGAAGAAAACAGTAGATAAAGACCTGCAGTTTTCCATCCATGCAAACCATGTTTTTTCGTGTGTGTTTGGAATAATCTTCAAATCTCCAGATCGAACAGCCTAGATTAGAAATGTTTCTGCTAGAAATTACTACAATTTCAACTTTAACAAAATCAGGTTTGGAACTTTCAAAACCTTCTAAAGGATGGCAAATCAAAACATTGACAGAAAAACTCTACAACTTTTTACACTGTATATACAAACCTTCATTCACATTTTTCATATTTTTATGGCAGGGTTTATCTATTTAAATTATAATCTGTTAATTTAATGATTATATCAGAAAGTAGCTGGCAACCCATTACCAGCGTTACATTCATTTGTTTGTCATGTTAACATGTAAAGATATTTAAAAAAAGAAAAGAAGTCAATTTTTTAAAAAGTTCTGAAAATCTGCATTAGCATACATCAACCTATCTAATAAAATGTTTTAAAGTAGGTCTGTTGCCAGTTAATAAAGATGGGTAATTTCACAACAAAAGCAAATACTATGCAGACTGAAAAGGGAGAGTGGTAATATCTATCAACCTTTTACGTGTTTGTCAACAGGGGGAGGGGGTGGGTTTCGCATAATTTATGACAGGGAGGTGCAGAGCAGTCAGGAAAACAGAATGACACAAAATGTTTAGTTTTCAGATCCAAACCCACATTATATTCGGAAGGATCTTTTTCCAAAAGTTCGTCTCACTTTCGTCCCCAAAACGCAGGGAAACACGAAGCTTAAATTTGAACAAATTGGAGGTTACGGAAGCGGATGCTGTTGCATATGCAATGCAAGTAAAAAAAGTTCACCACTAAAATAAAAGGCCCGTCCAACCAAAAATATTAATAAATGGTGAAACCTTGTACACAAAAACTATTCCGTACATCCTGTTAGGAGGTATCCGGAGTTGCCCCCAGAGGGTTGACAATTAGCATGGTACTCACATTCACCGCATTGGCAGCCATCTCCCTGCAGTCGACGTACCACTGAGGTTTAAGTAGAGGCTCAACAATGTCTTTCGACCGGCTAAAAACCAGAGTTAGGTCAATGGTATTCGACAAATACTAAACAACAGAACTAGCTGACTCTACTGTCAATTCTTCATTCTACATATTGGTAAGATAATGAGTTACGATTGTTTATAAGGACCTTCTCCATATTCTGTGAAAATAGGCAGCAAGGAGCCGGATAAATCAAGGTGCAACGCAAACTACATAAGCTAAATTGTATCCATACAAAGTTTACAGTAGTATGTAACTATGAGATTTAGAAACACCTAAACACTGAAGAATGAGAACTATGATCATGTTTACGAATTGAACATATTTGTGAATCAAAACCAGCCAAACTAAAAGGAGAAACAAAAATCTGTTATCATATCTTATCAGTGTTAGAACATTATTGGATTATTATAAAATGTTATCTCAAAATTGTGTCTGTCAGATCGGACTAGCTCCAGCCCTTATTCAATAACATTAAACTGCCTATACCTGCAAACTGGTATGACCATAGCATTGTCTTCGGTTTTCAAGTAAAGCCCAAGATCGTCCAAAGCCTTCTGGACTGTCTTCCGAGCATGGAAGCGCTTGGTATTCTGAAAAAAGCGATCGTCAAAGGTTTTTTAGCTGAGAAATTAATAAAGAAATATGAAGTTGATGTATGTGATATCCGGAAATCTTCACATACAAAGTGATGCACGACAATAATTGAGAAGTACTGATCATTTGAAGGGGGGTGTAATAAATATCTAAAACATAAACATTTAGCGTGATAAAAAGATTAAAAGTGCTTGAGTGCTGGCTTGATTTCAGATAATGAATGATCCTCCGCTTGTCACTGTCATATAAAAAATGGATCGATTTGTTCTGCATATGGCAAATTCAATGTTTCCTATGTTAATAGATATGCTTGTTAAGAGACATCTGATAAATTGACTGCTGTACCAGACTTTGACAGGAACATACAGGCATACGTGCTTTTTGCTATAACCAAATTTCTTAACGATACAAATCATTTTGCCAACTCACATCATTGACAATAGGATCAGCAGCTCAACAAGCATTTATAGAGATAAAAAAATTGCAGGGATAGAAATACTTACAACAAAACTCTGATATTCTGGCTTGAAATCTTGGACGTCTTTAATGAGGCCATTCTCATCCATCATTTGGATGAATGGTAAATCGTGCCGTTTTCCAATATCAAAATCGTTATGGTCGTGTGCTGGAGTGATCTTGACAGCCCCTGAAAAACAAAGAAGCTAAATATAAGAATGTTTAAAATAAAGCTAAACCTCAGAAACTATCTAACAATTATAACCGAAAAATATTTGAAATACTGTGCCAAGATTTCTTAACAATTTTAAAAAGCATTTAATTATCTTCAAGCACGGGGACATAAATTTTCTATGGGACATACAAGTTGGCTAGCAATAAAGGTTAAATCATTCTCCACTGCCTTCAAACTCAATGGAACAGCATTTAAAGCGGGGGGGGGGGGGGGGATTCTCAGTCTGTGCCAAAAAGCAATTTAAGAAGAAATCAAGTAAAAAGTAGGTACAAAACTTACATGAAAAAACTTAGTTACATGAAAAATGTCATTAGAATGTGCTTATAACGGACTAAAAGCTTTCATATTAAGAAGAGCTAAATGTTCGAATGCCCTTCAACTCCAGCTAAACATAGATCATCGACTTATTTTAAGCTTTTTACACTCATGTTAAGCTTCTTTTTAGAAGTTATTCAGTTTACTGGTAGATAGATAGACATGTTTGCAAAGGTCATATATAATGTAATTAAATTGCTGTCAAGTTTACTTTCTACACATTTTTATCCATATATATTTTACGCCGCTTTGTTTAAAATCTTGTAACTAGCTATTTACTAGTATTAAGATGCTTTTCATGCACGAGCACTAAGATTGCACTATATTTCAGATGGAGGTCACCTTGAAGATCAGCAATATAGGGCCTTTGCAATAGAGCTTTAGGATTTTCAACCTTTCATATGTGAAAACTAATAAAATCAAAGAGTTCTGAAATAACTTGAGAATAAAAATGTTATGAGACAGACCCGTCTCGGGGATGGCCTGCTACTCTGTTCCGAAACTGAAACCTTATGCATTTTGTAGACTCAAACTGTGAAAGCGCTTTGACCTTTCATCAATGACGGAAACAGAATGATAGCGAATTCATAAAAAACCAACATAAACGGAGTCTCAAATTAACTTATAACTTTGTGATCACTCTGTTTTTACTCGCCCGCTAGATTAAGCTGCTTCTAAATAACACCTGACTCTCTCTTTCTGGGACTTGTGACAATTCGCAAACACATCACTTCCAGGTCTAATAAATTCAAACTGGGCTTGACAGCAAATTTGATGCAAAAGCGCATTATCAAGCACTGATGCCATATTCTTTTTCTTCAAAATTTGAAGAAAAACAGGAATTGAAATGGAATGTAATCAACTTCTTTTGCGTTTTCACTTCTATTTCGCTGCGCTTCATTAATATTTACGAGGCTATTCTTTAAAATTCAGCTTTGTGTCTGACATGCCATAGAAACTGTTGTACATACCAGTGCCGAATTCCGGATCCACGGCGTCGTCAAAAACAATCTTCAGCTTTCTATTGCAAAATGGATGCAGCGCAAACTTTCCATTCAGATGCTTAAAACAATTTTTGTGACTGTTACAATAAACTCATCGTTACATCTCTATTTCAATAACATAATAAGAAATGATGCTATTGTTTCAAGAAAACTAACGTAAAACTTCACAGTCAGTTGCTACCTAACACGCAGATTATTTCATTTCTATTTTCTCACTTTGTGAGAATGACATTTGATAAAAACGTGACTTTGCATTAGCCCAAAGATTACGGCAAAAAATTTGCTTAAGCACGTGCACTCTTACTGAGGCGCGGATACAAGAAACGTTTTGATAAGACATCAGAGTGGAAGCTAAATAAAAAGCTACTTTTCTCTATGCTGCATTTTCTGTTACAAATTGAGGACCCTTTTACGATTCCTTTGAATGTGCTGAAATTCGTTTTACCTTTGCACCCAATTTTTTTCACCCCCATTACCCTTGCAATTTTTCATAAGAGGTCTTAGGCACTTCATCCCTAAATTTCTTTAACGATTATTTGTGTATCACTAATCCCTTTAAAGTGGATTTATTATTTATCAGGAAGCTTCCCTACATATATTCGCCTTTCAGGCTCGATAACCTATTCTTACAGTATCCCGAAATAGCCTAAGCAAAATGTATGACCCCAAACCTAATGAAGAGGCCGGACTCAACTAAAATTTAGCCTCCTACTAAAATTTGGTTACCTCGTTTTTATGGCGTGTTGTGCTGTGATTTCGTCTGTTAAAATGATTTTAGTTTCTGTCGCCTTGCCTCAGTGTGGCTACGCTTTTCTAACTAACCAAATATTACATGGCTCGGTTGTCTCTGTAGAACTGTTTTTGAAATTTTCAAAGGGATCCTCACCTTGTATCTTTCATCGTTTGGATGAACAGCTATTCCAGAATCTCCAAGCATCGTTTCCAACCGTGTTGTTGCAACAATTATCTTCTCATCTAGAAAAATTGATACACGTAATACCATTAATAGAAATGCGTAAAATATCAATACCATGTGCGTGATTGTCGGAAATCGAGGCGAGAAAAATTCATCACTGTCACGAGTCTAAACAGGCACCTTCATAAAAGGCCATGCTAAGACAAACTCATTCCGAATACCTAATCTGGTCAACCCCAGAAAGACAAGAATCATACCGTTATGAGTGCCATCTGCAAAAATAAATTCTATGGACTTACCAGCGTATTTTTACTTCCCATTAACAATCTTCTTTACATATCAAATCAAAACCTACGATATCAAATCAAAATCGCATCAACTGACCTGTTCCTTCGATCGGGTAGGCAAAGTGAACCAAAACACCAAATTCGACTTTCTTGTCATAGCCAGGCACACTGAGAGGCGTCTTGCCTGTAATTTCGGTTTTGTCGACCTAGAAATTAGCAAAAAAGCACATTCTTTTAGAAAAACCTTTGGGAAACTCTGGATAAAAAACTTTTGTGGAAGGTATCTACAAAATAAGTGGCATAAGAAAGCATTTGTAAAATGATAAAACAAAATATCTCGAAGATTACAAATAGCATTATATTAAAAAAAACAGCGACAAACGTTTTAATACAAAATCAGATTTTGCATATAAGCCGTAGATTCAGAAGTAAGTCATTAATATTTACTTGCCTAAAAAGACAAAATAATCCCTTTAACACTACTCAGAACTTCAATATAATTCTGTAGTCTTTTCGGGCATTCGAAGTGAGATAATTCTCATGAAAGGTTTGAAGTTGGAGAATATGATCTAAATTTCAAGAAATCTCTCTTGATTTTTGCTGAATAAAAGTGTTTCGTGTGGCCTTTGGGCAGACAGTCACCAGTTAAAAAACTAAAAAGAACAGCGATAAGCCTTGTGCCAGCTTTCGTAAATAATGCGAAAAAATACGAAAGAACTAGAAAAACGGGAGACAAACAGAAGAAAATAGAAAAGAAAGAAGAATTTGATCTGTGATTAGCTATTACATCAGTAGATCAAAGAAATCATAATCATAAGGGTAGATCAAAGAAATCATAAGGGTAGATCAAAGAAATCATAATCATAAGGGTAGATCAAAGAAATCATAATCATAAGGGTAGATCAAAGAAATCATAATCATAAGGGTAGATCAAAGAAATCATAATCATAAGGGTAGATCAAAGAAATCATAATCATAAGGGTAGATCAAAGAAATCATAATCATAAGGGTAGATCAAAGAAATCATAATCATAAGGGTAGATCAAAGATAATCATAATCATAAGGGTAGATCAAAGAAATCATAATCATAAGGGTAGATCGAAGAAATCATAATCATAAGGGTAGATCAAAGAAATCATAATCATAAGGGTAGATCAAAGAAAAGGAAGACCTGTAACAAGGAACTTTGCTATTGCAAAAAATTGGAAGTTATTGATAATGAGAAATAAGATGAACTCACTTCGATATCGGAGATGGCCGAGTTCAATGCACACGACCAGTTGACAAGTCGGTTAGCACGATAAATAAGCCCTTGTTCATGCAAGCGGACAAAGGTCTCTTTCACAGCTCTTGATAATTTCTAGCAAAAAGGATGATTTTTATATCTTAAATAGTAGCAAGTACAGAAGGAAGACAAAACAAATTCACATTAAATATTTTTACAAATAGAACTGTATTTTAACTTTTAATGGTACTGTGGTTGTTTGATTAATATTTGTAAAGAATATTTTTGTGTGAAGCCATACTAACGCTTGAGGGTAGCGTAAAATGCCGTGTACTGACCGTCTTTTTATTCACAATATTTCTGCAAAGGTGTTGAAATCTCAAGAGTGAATCTACAAAACAACTCAAATGAATTTACAAACACGAATCTACGGAAACAAATCTATTACCTCATCCATGGTGAAGCAAGCTCGATCCCAGTCTACTGAAACTCCCATACGCCTGAACTGATCGTAAATTCTTCCACCTTTCCTGTGCAACAGGAAAAAATGAGCAATTATTATAATTAAAAGCCAAGTCAAATCATTTCTTAACTCAATAAGCTTAAGTAAATACACAAAGCCAAAAAAAGAGTTATGGATTAAATATAAGGCTGACAAACTTTTTTTTGGACGCGAAAAACAATTTAGCTTGAAATCCGAATAAATTTTCACAAAAATAGCTAGCAAATAGCACGTTTCGTCAACCTTCCTTGTTGCATTGATAATAACTGCATAATTTCGGTAACCTTAAGTTTTATGACAAAATACTAATGTATGAAAGCTAATATAAAGCATTTTAAATTGGCAAGACATCGTGCAACGTTTTGAATTGGATATCTGCACTTGAATTGGAACCTTTGCTCTTTAATCAAGGACAAAATGAGTAGACTCGGTACAAAAATATCATTTTGTGTCGCTCCAATCATCTGCTTTTGAAAAAGCCTGGTTTTTGAACAAGAAAAAAAATCTACAACAAACAACAACAAACATGGGACTGAACAAAATTACTTAATTTCGGAAAAAAAGAAAAGGAAATTTCAAAAAGGGCATGAAAAATAAAAAAACATAATACACTTAAGTATTTTTCCGTCCGAAACTTCCAGAGTGTAAACCTTAGGCATAAAGACCTTCTAGAGTAAATACAAAAAAGGGTTGACGAAAAATTTTATCCAGAACGAGGTGCAGATTGGTGGTAACATGAGAAGAAGACTAGCCCCTTCATTGGATCCATTATTTTGACCAAAACGCAGCTCTCTGATAAGTAGCTGCTATCTCGCATAGTTAAAGAGCCCATCCTTAAAAATAAAAAGACGATATTGCTAGCCCCTTAAAAATAAAATTATCGTCACTGTACGTTTCGGCGCCCACTATCATATGTTTTAATTTCTTTGCTATTTTGAAGTTTTGCACTGCAAGAGACTTACGAAGGAAATTGTGCAACTCACTCGTTTTTCCATTTCCAAACCTCTTCGACAAATTTTTCTCTTCCAATATCATGACGAGATATACCTTGCTCACGTTTCAGCTTTCGCTCTACAACAACCTAAGTAAATAAATATTATTTAAGATGCAAATAAATGCAAAAAAAGAGAAGTACAAAAAACATTGCTTAAACAAACAATCTACGATAATAAGCAGACGTCGTATACAATTTCAATGTAAGCTTAATTGCTTTAAAAGGACTTTTTTAATGGCCTCTGCTAAATCGTAGGATCAAAAACTATTATACAAAAGCTTTACAGTCAAGTGAGATATATACACATTTATAGATCTTACGAGATTAAAGTAAAGTAGATTGCTACAAAGAGGTCATTTACCTGCGTTGCAATTCCAGCATGATCACAACCTGGGTTCCATAAAGTTGTTTTCCCATGCATTCGATGCCTGTATACAGAAAATTGGAAAAGGTTGTCAGTACCTGGTTTCTAGAATATCAAAACATCAGATATTCACAATTTCTTCTATGTTTGCTAAAGCTTACTACAAAATCTTACTTAAATGACACTCAGCAAAGATAAGTATAGCATAGCATAGATAGTAGAATGAAATGGCAAAATCATGTCTCTATTTTTTCTTAAAGCACGACCAAGTCCAATGGTATAGGAAACCAAATATTCATAATTATATTCAGGTTACTACCATCTAGTTATTGCATCTTCAATTGCCAACATCAAAGCATGTCCAAGGTGAAGGTTTCCAGTGACATTTGGTGGAGGAATGCAAATGACAAATTGTCCTTTTGGATTTGGTTTTAAATCTTCTCCAGCCTGCAACATTGATATAAATTTTAAATCTAAGTAATGAGAAAATCAATTAATAGCTTCACAAAGAGCCAGTTTGATAAGATGATGTAAGATAATTTTCCTGAAATTGATTATTCTTGATGCAATCTTTGTTTTCCTTAAAATCAACTAGCAACTCATTAATTGATAAAGTGTTATGAGGCTGCAGGTGAAGGGATACCAGGAGAATATATCCTGCCAGATTATTAAACTAGAGGTGCAACTCAGGGCAGCAATTAAAAACCATGCTGCAAAACACATCAATGGCTAAGATACATTACCTGGTACTCTGGCTTGAAGAATCCCTACAATAAAACATATAATATTTGATTAATAACTATGAACCACCACAAAAACGACTGCAATCAATATATAGACAAAGTCTTTAATAGCAAAATGCTATCATTGCTAATAACCTGTTGAACAGAACTTTCCTTAAAGCTAAACAAACTAGAAATAAATTTTAACATGAAAAAAGCTTTGCAGGAATTTTTTTTTAAATATGTTCTTTTCCAACAAGCAACTTTGTTTCTTTCATCTTCACAAAAAACATGAAGATAAAACAAATGTACTTTATGTATGTGCGCTATGTAGGCTAAAATGGTTTTTACCTAAGAACCATTGAGAATGTTTTTAAAAAAATTCTTATTTGATAAAAGTTTACAGTTTTTCATATGGCTTAAGAACTTTTGTTATATTTTGCATAGTTCTTGAAAATTCTTACAAATTTGTTTGCTGTGTTGATGCGTCCAAGACCTCTACTATATATTGCCTATCACAGTGACTTTTACTAAATGAAGCAAATTTTCTCTTTTGCTTTTTACAATTGAATTTTTCTCAGGATTCTGACCTATATTCTAATTAAATAGTTTGTTTAAAGCTTCTATGGACACAAGGACATCATATGATCAAACTTTCTTGCTCTGATGAAGCCCTGTATACCGGGGCGAAAGATTAGCCTTCACTGATTTACGTGTATTTATTGTTGTTTATTCTTGGTGTATTGCGGTGTTTATTATTTGCTACATTTTATCGACTTTTCGCCGCAAAAACTCCTTAGAGCCCGTCAAGCAGCCTGCTACACTGACCTTTTCTTCATTCACACATTCATTTTTAATGTTGTTTTTTTCTAATGCTTGCCTCCATCTCCAAAAGATAGCATCTACCCCATATTGATCTCCATTTGTACTCTCCCACCTTTATTCTAGAAAACTTTAATTTTCTGAGTATAAATATTCTCATGAGTCAGAAGGTAAATATTATAGCTGCGCCCCTATTTCAGATCAATTTAGGCGTTCTTGTAAAAAATGATTTTTAAGTGATAAGAAACTTGTTTAAAATTTTATAAACGTAGCTTATGCTTTCATAAATTGGTGACACATCATTATGGTTTTTGGAATGTCACCCTTTCTTCTTTTATCTTTACATTCTCCCTGGAAATTTATGCCTGATTTTTTTCGGTCGCAGGAAGGAGAAAAAACTTTCATACCCTGAATAGCAAGTAAGAGACCTCTTTTGCTACTAAAAGAAACCTTACTGAAATAAAAATTGTTATTCTTTGTTTCCGTAAAACGATGAAAAGCCAACACTGCCATACACTGCCCTTAACTATTGCAAACAGAAAGTACCAGCATCATTGATTTTAAAAATTGGAAAGAAGAGAAACAGTCTTGAAGTGTCAAAAAATTGCAAAAATGTAGAAAGTTCTGATAGAAATATTTCTAATAGAAAAATAATTTCAAAGCAACATAAAGAAAGCTCTGTTAAATATCTAACAGGATCAAGTATTAACCCTTTACAAACACTCAACAAATACATTACATACCTCTTTTTCCCACCATGAGTACCAAGCTGACTCCACATAGAGGGGGCTATAACTGTCTGGGAGCTCGCACTTTGTATCTTTAACAAGCAGAATACAGATCATGTGTCATTTTAGCTAATTACATACATATAATATATATATAAGATATATTGAACATTTTATAGCTTTGCAGCATTGACAAAAAAAACATTTTTAAAACCAAAACTTATATTATTATAAACAAGGGTAACTGAGCAATTCTGAACTTTGCCTGCAAATGGGTGTTCTGTGATGCTTAACTTAAATATAGTGATTGGCTATCTCATTGTGTTTCAAATATTGCTAAGTTTTTAAGGGTATATACATAACAAATACCCATCAGTTTCATTTTTTGTGATGCTAACCCTCCATCTTTTGCAGAAACATTTTCCATCTTAATTTGTCATCAAATTCCAACTATCATCACATCATTTAATAGAAAAAATTATTATGCTAAAAAAGGCAAGAACTCTGTTCTTCCACACTGTTATAGCTGTAATATCAAAATAACTCAAATTTATATCTTTAACTTTTAGTCAGTTTTGAAACCAGGAATTAAAAAAGTATCAATTCAGCGCTCTTAATTTAATATGCACACTATACAAGCACATAACCATTGGTTTAAAGATTTGCATTTCTTTAGGCTCAATCGCAATAAATAAATTTCAATTTAAAAGAAACCTCTTACCTTTCTTATCTCCTTTCGCAGTTTTAATGTCATATGTAGTTACATTTATGGCTGCTTCTTTCCCTTTCTTCTCTTTCTTTGGCTTGTTTTTTTCCTGTCAGTAGTCAAGTAAAAATAAAGTGTCAGGCAAAAAAATGGAAAAAATACCAAATTGTAGCTTTCCATCTCCTCTCCAAATATCTATCACTCCATTAAACTCCCCAAACAGTCATTAGTATCCTAAGAAATAATCAATCAACATATCTTGAGAAGACAATCCTCATACCATCACCATCATATCTATTTGAGAGCTCATAATGACAGGTTTATACTTCATCCCATATTACCAGAGCTACTAAGACATTTTTCCTTTTCATCTCCTTTAAAACTTTGTGGCATAAGATATATGCCAGAAAGGGTTGTACATGCAGCTAAGCCTATCCGAGTTTAGCAATAGAGGGGATAATAAGGTATGCGAGCTTTATCTGCACTTGATATTTTTAGTGGCAAGCCATCTATTTCTGTATAAATTTTGGCTAGAATCTGTGGCATGCTAAGTCCCAGAATGCATACTGCCTTGACTTAGCTTGAACATTTTGGGCGATGTTTATACTTTGAGGGGTGTTAGATGAAAAAAACAGAAGTGTAGGCTGTGTTTAAGTAAGTAAGAAAATGAAAGCAATGTTGAATGGAAACAAAAATTAAAAAAGACTGTCCTTGATTGAACCTTGCAAAAAACCTGATAAAAAAGCCAGTCTTCACAATTTGCTCCCAAAATAAAATTATTCAAACAAATCCTGTTTCCACGCAAGCAAACTAGAAACGTTCTACTAATTCATGAGTCTGATCGTGCAAGATAGCTTTATAGAGATATATCATCTGGAATTTTCTAAAACAAGGTTCACGTTTTTATATTGATGGTCTAGTGATGACCATTACCTCAGCTTGCTGAGCTTGTTGAGCCTCTTGCTTCTTTGCAAGCTTTTCTAGTTTGGCCTGTTTCTTTGCTTCGTTCTTTAACTGTTTTGCTGTTTTTACCGGAGTGCCTTCTGTCGCTTGGGTATTCAGAGATGGTTTGTCATCTTGTGGAGGTACCACTGGTGTGCTCATCTTGATTACTGCTGTTCTCAGCAGTCTAACAGGTTGCTTATTTCCGAGGGGAGACCGCACTATATTTTGAATTATTACACTTCTAAAAACTACTGGCCTCCACAAAAGCATAAATCTAAAAGTGACCAACTCAAAGGTTCCAGAACTGCCCAAATCTAGGCCACATCACATGCAATATCTTTTTGACTATTGTATCCCTGTGCCAGCTTGCTGATGACACCGCTCTCGTTATGGTGTAATGAAGCCTCTAGTTGAATACCGTTGTTTGTGTTTTTCCAAGAAATCCAGAGAGGATGTAAACATGCAAAAACAAGCGGTGGTGTCAAAGATTAAAATCAAAACCATTGTTGCATTTCCATATTCATGAATATTCATTTAAATCTAAACGAATGAAGTTTTTAAGTTTGTGGAAGAGATGTGACCCGAAATTGTTGTTGATGTTGCTATTGTCCATTGAAAAGTAATACTGTTTACTTTTGTCAAATAGCAAAGTCCAAATGGAGAGGTAATAGATATTATTCCAAATATAAGCCGTGTTAACCGAAAGCAATACCATGGACTATTTGCAACGAAATGCAAATGTCAGTGCGATCATAAATACTTTATTCGCGTACCAGTATCTAAATACGACAACAGATCCTTCAAAACTCGGCGGTGCTCTTACCGTTGTACTACAATCAAATCCACAGTTGATGCGCTTGGTGAATTCCACAGGATTGAGCTTGCAGACCGTAACATCGGTAATTGTGGATATCTACAACTGTGTCAACAAAACTATCAGTGCTGATGGGAATCCGATGTCATTATGGTAAGTTGAGACTGATTAGCTTGGCTGACAATCCCTTCCTTATCGTTATCGTGCGATAGTCTGTAGGTATGTGACACAAACTTCAGGATCTGAGATAAATAGATATCTAGCATTACCACTGGAAAGAGCTTGAAAAACCATATAAAATGACACCAAGGTCATACCAATAGCATCAGTAAAATGAATGTTATCGAAAATTGTCTGTTAGAAAAAAGCGGTAATTTTGTCTCGACTCTTAATAGTGTTATGTATACCATCAGCTGTGATCAAAACAACAGAAAGTGCTGATTTTTAGATAATAACTTCCCATAACTTTGTCAAGTTACAGATTTATTTATGAAATTTTCAGAAATTCATCTGACTTCAATATCCTATAAAACTAACACAAGAAAATAGTCCTCTATTAATGTTCATGTTAATTAGTTACTAATTAATGTAATCGGATTTTACAATAAATAAAAATGAATGATTTATTAAATATGGAAATAATGTTAAAATTATGTACATAGGCAAAATAGCACAATTCGAAAAAAGACATGATGAGTAATTTTATCTAAAAGACTCAAGAAGTTAAAGAAAGAAACCCTTAATCTAATTAATTTTTAGGTTAATAAACAGTTAAATACCAATTTGTATTGGGCATCATCTGAGAATGTTTGTCTCTCAAGGTTATAACACAGGCAGCACCAAAAGTTGAAAATTGGTACAGAAGACCAAATTTCAATTTATCAACTAATTAATTAGTTAATTGGCTTAGTAAGAAAAATGAACAATTTGATTTTGATACAATACTATACTTGAGGTGGTTAGGGGTAAAAAACTTCTTCCCTTATTTGAGAGGAACCCCAACATGCTACATATCATTGGAAAGCTTCTCTTTCACTGATTGAACTTGTAATATATTTACTAGAAAAGTGATAGATATGATATATAATAATATATGCAGACTAATCAACAAAAAAATGTCCCTTATTGTTTCACCCTAATTAATGATAACATCACCATGGAGGAAATCTACTAGCATGGTTACATCCCAGCCTTTTGCATCAGCATATGTTTCCACAGCTGCCCAATATGCTATCTTAAATACCTTGAGGTTATAGGCATTCTCATTTTCTTTCTCCTTTTTCTTGTCCTTATTCTCTTTCTTCTCAGTTGAGAAAACTTTTCGATCTTTCCATTGTAGGCAAGGGATGTCCTATCATAAACAGAGCAAATATGGCTAAGATACCTGCCCACCACCCTACCCCTCAATATGTCACTGATCATCTCATGCTTTTTACACTCAAATCAAGATTTAAACTTGCCAAAGTATTTGCCAAATTTTCTTTCAACTTTTTCTCTAATTTCTTTTGTTATTTTGTATCATGCTGTGAATGCTTCAAAGCTTGTCTCTTTGCCATTTCAGAAATGAGTTCCTTCTGACTCAGCTTTCTTTTCTTTTACGGCTTTTTCCTAAAGAAATTGCTCACGTTAGAACCTGTTCTCGTTCTTTGTCTGACAGTCTTTCTAGATAGGCAACTGTGTGGTTCTTCTGAGCTTTAATTTTGCATGACAAATAGCAAAGAGTGGCATTAGGTGACCTTTCTTTAGCACTGCTAAACATCCCCATGATCTCCTCAGAGTCTATGTTATGTGAACATGCCAATTTGGTATCTTCTATAAGGCTTTGGGTTAAATCCATAGCAAAGTATGTCTTGTACTGTCTCTCTAGAACATCTATGACAGCTCTGATGGAATCAGACATCAGTAAGGAAAACAGCTACTTCTTTTCTGGAGCTTTGCGTTGGCTAGCCAAGATGGAGTCAGTGTCATCTAGAGTTTGTCAAAAGAAATCTTCTTTTGCAGTAAGGAGATCAAAGGGATTTTCAGTCACATTCTTGAGTGAGTTCAGTAAGTCTAGCAAGTCATAGACAGCAACACGAAAGAACTAGATTAACACTAAATTTCAGAGAAAGTGTCACTTTCAAATTGTATTGAAAATGAATTCATGATTTTTTTGTTATAGTCTTGGTATTGAGAAGACAAATGAGCGATATTCACTGGAACAGTGTTTGGATTTGAAGGCTGATACAAATGCTTTAGTGTTACTTGTGCTTGGTGTTTTTAGTGTAAGTTGGACAACATTAAGCTTTCATCCATTAATAATCCCATTCTGATTTGTTGTTTGTTCAAATATTTTTTATGAATTTTAACTTGTTCAACGATTCTTCCAGACTTTTACATGCAAATTTAAAAGGGTAAATGACCTAGGGGGAGGCACCCATAAGTAGAATAAAAAGTCCTGACAGTTGTATTCTTCCCAGCATGGAATAACACATTGGGAGGTTATCTTAGAATAATTTATAGGCAGTCCAGAAATATCAGATTATCTGCAATTTAGCTACAAGATATCTGCTTACCATTTGCCACATGCCAATAGTTATTCAGCTGTAAATTGTCCTATCCTCTACTGTGCCTATCTAGGCTTTATGCAATGATTATGTTATACAACATCTAAAATTATCTTTTTTGTAAATACTTTTCTTTCATATCGATAGATGCTGGAACATTGCATCATGTTGCTTAATCTCTTTCGATCCTTAGTTCTTCTTTCTCATTGCTGGCTCATTATTGAATAGGCGCAAAAGTGCCTGTTTGAATTTTTTGCATGGAAGGCCAGCACTAGTTGTGTAAGTACAAAATTCTTCAAGAACTTTATCTGTTCTCTTGCATTGAGTAATGTACTGAGTGCCTAGTTAGCATTTGTGAGATCATGTTGCTTACCTCAGGGAATGTACTTCTTACTATCTGTCAAGTGTGTAAAAATCTACTGATGTTTCAAATGGTGGACACAACTACCAGGTATATGGCGGAAAATGTATAGAAAAAAGTTATCAGCATTTTTCATTAAACAACAAGGTCAATTGTCTTAAGTATTTTTATAATTTAAAGCTTTTATGATATTTTTTCAAATTTGTTTCCCTTCTATCTTTTTCTATGAAGGCCATTGAATATGCTTGATAGTTACGAAAATCGCTTTGGGTGTGCTCTGGCATTTGGTGTAACTACATCTTATTGTATTGATGTTCTATTTGGAAGTGCACAGACTGTAGTAGGTTCCAGAATTGGTAAGGTTATTGGTGCTGCACCAAGCTCAGTTAACTGTAAGTAGTATGATATTTTTGATAGCTAAGGATACTTAACAAATTACAGGTTTTAGGATTAAATCCAGGAGGCCTTACCACCTTCTTATACAATCTAAATTGACAGGCATTGTAAGAAAAGCAAAGAGTTCTAGCAATGGCATAGCATGACCTTTCTCGTTGGGGGTGTGAGAGATGCAAAACCATAATTTACAGAGAGAAATTCTTTTGTTACATTTTGCATAAAATTATTTTGTTATAAATGTAATTCTACCAATGAGTTCTCCGAAAGTTGTGGGATGTGGGGGGCACACCCCCCACATGCTACGTCCCTGGGTTATAGATATGTCATATTTGTAATGGCTTCATTTGCACATCCTTAAAGTCAATCAATGTGTGTTTGGTATTTGACTTTATAATACACAAGGATAGCATTAGACTCAATGCGAAAAATGTATTTTTAGGTAAGATATTAGTATAAGAAAGTTGTAATTGAAATTTTTCAAATGGATTGCAAGTGGTTTCTCATCTGCATTTGTTTGCAGTGGTCTTCAAGATCGTATCTGCTATGGTGATTGCCAATGCAGCATTCCCATTGTTTGTTTGCATCAGAACAAAGTTCAAAATTATTGGATCACTATTTGGCATATTTTATTGCACTGCTTGGTAAGTTAGTAGCATCAATTTGATTATTATCCTTGTGTACAAAAAAATGTTTTCTAAAGATTCCTTGATGTCACACTATTTTTGATGTACCTAATTCAGTGTATTTTGCAAGCTTTGTATTAAACAAAATGCATTTGATTTTTAGGATTGTTCTGCTTTATGTGAAACTTTACTTGTATTATCATATGTGTGTAACAACACTATCATTAAGATCTGAGGTAGGTTTTATTTTTCTGTTATTTTATTGTCATTTATTATCATGATTATCAACTTTTATTGCAAAATTGTTTGCAATCAAATGTTAAGTGATTGTTTACATAATTTTCTAAGCAAACCCCTTTGTTTATAAATGCTATGTTTGCACTTCATAATCAAATCTGAGTCAAGTATAATATCAAATGGGCAGTTACCTCCCAAACCGTTATAGTTTCTACCACTGACCTGTAGAATAGGTTTGGCTATTCTCTTCTCAAAAAATTTATATTCTCTGTTTCATCGTAAATGCTCAAAGCTTTAATAAGATGCTAAATAAGATGCAATATATTTTGATGTTGATTCCATTTGACCACGTTGAATATGACTAGAAAATCGTTTGAGTTATTCTGTTGCTGTCATTTAGTCTTCATGATGCTTTGTAGATTACGCAACTTTTCGAAAGCTTAGGGGAAATTCCTCAGCTTATTTGCCTGGTTGCATTGCTTGTGAGATTTACCAGGGTGCTGATTCATCATTCATTAAAAAAGAAAGGGGTACGTTTCGTTCTTGTCTCATCTACGTTGAAAGGAACTTCAAATCATTTATCAGGTTTTACGTAAAGTAGTTTTACAGAATATGTTGCAACCGAGTTGAATCCGCTCTGTTTTGTAAGATTGTGTTGTTTTGTTACTTTTTTTCACCTCTACAGTTTTGTTCAGCTTATAGCAGGGCCATAAATCTGTCATGTGAATTGGGGGGGGGGGGTAAATGGTATGTGTTATGGAAACAGTTGAGGGGTCAAGATTTTTGGATTTATCAAGACTTTCTGCTCTTTAGAAGGTATTTAGAGATTTTCCTTAGAACAATGACTTGTTAATAATTGAATGGATAATATTTCTCAGCGACGGCCCCACGAAATTGAACCTTGGGAGCTAAGAATCAAGTTTAATGATGTATGAGGACCCACTAGTTGGGTCCGACGCGGAAGAAAATTTTTGAAATTATACCTTCTAGAAAGTCTAAAAAAGTAACCCCAAGAATAAATTTAATAAAATACTAGATCGCCCAGGATATAAATCTCGACATTTTTCAGAAGATCACAGATTATTGTTTATTGGGCGAAATTGTGGAGGGGGAGAGTCGTGGTTAAACTTTTAGTGACAGACGTTGAGGAAAATAGGGACGTTCTTGTATTGACTGGTAGAATTTTACTTCTTGAGCAAAAATGTGCGTTTTCCTTATTTTGAGTGTTTTAAGTAGGCCATGTTTACACATAAAAAATGAATACAATGTAATGATACAGAAAGTGATTTACTAAATAAAAGAAAATGATAGACAAATAATAGAAATGTACGTAAAAAAGTTAGTTAATTAGTCAAATAAAATAACAGTTTGCTGTTATTTTATTTCATATTCTGTTTTCAAAAATATAACCGTAGAAAACGGTAAAAACAGCAAAAATAATTTATCTTGTAAAAAAGATAAAAACCACTCTGTTTACAAAAATATCGGCCATCAAAAAAAGTCAACTTGCACTTGACACCATGACTTAGTAGCTGAGGTTTGTTGCAATAACACAGAAAAACGTGGTTTGGCTCTAACCCAGCTACAAGAGATTTTCTTTGTTTCAAGGAAAATGATAATAATTTCTCAAAAAACTCGTTTTGCTCCAGATTTTTTTTTTTTGGGGGGGGGGTCCAGTCCCCCCGTTCCCCCGGTATTTACGGCCCTGGTTTATAGCTCGACTTGTTATTACTATACAATGTAGAACTGGATGATGCATTCAAACCATATATGACTTGGTATTGCTTAACTAAATTGTAGTCAAATAGATTTGTGTTGATTAAACAGTTATTTAAAATCAAGACTTTTTTCTTGAAGGCCAGATCGCGTCATGCAGAAACATTCCAGCAGTTTCAAGAGACATATATGCTAAAGCATGTTGCAAATTTACTAAAAGCTGTCCCAAAAATGGAGTAAGTTCATGATAACTCCCTGTTGATCTTTTGATGTCTCAACAAAATGAAATGCTTCTTAGAAACCCTATTCTACTTACCTATTTTTGGAGATTTGAAATATTATTGTGATATTTTTCTATTATGCCATTAACTTCCCGTTGTTCATGACTTGATTTTTAGATATCTGTCACTTTGACAAATATCCGAAAAGTAACCAGAATCTGAATAATTAGGTTAATAGTCAATAAAATCCGTCCATTATACTTTCCTCATCGAACTAGTAGAATACAAATATTTCCTTATTTTAAATGATTTTTTCTATTACACTTATTCTAGACAAGATTATAATCAATTCCTTGCAACAATTCTTCTAATGTGATCTTGAACATATCATAATTTTTGGTGCTCATCTTGCAACCTTGTTGCCTGATAGAACTGGTGGCACAGAGAGCCTAAAATTGAAAATCAGAAAGAAAGTTTACAAGTGGAAGCCAGGTAAGCAGTTTTTAAATGTTTTAATGCAGTTTTTAAATTGTTCTCGCGTTTAAAATGTCCCAATGGAAACAAATGTCCCGGATCTTTTTTTGCAGTGGAAGCTGGACTACTGTACATTTCATAGCTGTTAATCACCCTTCTCACGACCAGAAATTTGAAAGTTTTCTACAGTAGAGTATCTACTTGAATGAACATAACTATTGATAGTCCCCATTTACCCATTGATCCTTAAGTTTTTCCCTGAGAAGAGGGGGTCTCTCTTCTCAATTAGCTTACCTACCGAGAGAATTCCTCCTTAACAATTGCCATTCATACAAATCCTCTAGTATCGTATTTTCTCCTATTTATATGTATTATTGTGTTATTAATTTTTAGTTTTTAGTTTCTTATGATGTAAGTTGTTTAATATTAGAGTGTTTGTATCTAGTAAAATTTAAAATAAAAATGGACTGAACTGATCTAAATCATATTTGTTATCTGAATGTGAAAAGACACTTTTTAAGTGTCCCACGCCACAGTGCTTATGGCATTATTCAAGTGTTGTTCAGAAGAGCACCCTCAAAGCCTGCTTCTTGCATTGATCCCTGATTTTATGAACTAACGCATTTTGCAGTCAGTTACGATCTTCTAGATCGAATGCTTCAGATGGTTATCCTTAATATACCGTATTTACTCTAATATTCCCGCTGCGGGATTAGCATTTCAACCTAACAAAAAAAGGCGGGATTATTTTTTCAATGCCTTGAAGTCTAGTTTGAGGATACCGTTTCAACAAAAAAGTCTCTTAAACATGATTTTGGCCAATCAGAGAAAAAATATGCAATTTAAACATATATGGGGGGTTAAAATTAAATGGGGAGTGGGATATTTATTTTACAGACAAGACGAAGTCAAAGAACCAAACGTCTTTTTATGCTGCGAGACTTGTATGTTTGATAAACTTGCAAAATAGGACAGCTCTCTACCCTCTCCCGTCTATGACACTATCATGTGATTAAACCCATTCACTCCAAGCATAAGTTTCAATCCTTGATTTTCAACCCATACAAAGTGTGTAAAGAATAGCAAATGCCAATTAAAAGTTTCAATCCCGCATGCGGGATTACTGGGGAGGCGGGATTATTCTTACAATCTATGAAATACAAGCGGGATTACTAGGGAGGCGGGAATAAAAGAGAAGCGGGAATATTAGAGTAAATACGGTATTGGAAAATTTCATTTTAGTTTCTTTTATAATGGGAATCCTAGGTTTTCACACATTGCAGCACAACGATATTTTCTAGCAGTGACAGTTAAATTGTTCTCCAATTTCATTTTTAGAATTCCGATACTCAACTAGAATCATTTCAGCTTTCATGGTCTCTGGTATAACAATCTACATTGTGAGTTATAAACTGATGTTTCTACATATTGATATTTTGCTCTTACTTAAAATAGATTTTAGAACAGAAACTAGGATAATTTTGAGACAAAATTACTTTAGATTGTGACAAAGTCATACTTTACCGTTATTGAATTAAGCAAAATTGGAATCAGAAATGAATATTGGAAGCGGATTTTTTTCTGGCTTTCAGTGCAGTTGTTTGGTTCTATCTCAATATCAATCAATGCAAATACATGCAACTATTGTATTGGTGAATGCAATTTTTTACATTGATATTTATATCTTCTTAATAATGGGAGAGTTTTTGGCTTTCATCTATAGTATTCTTTGTTTTAAATAAAGAAGCTCAAATGTTTCACATTTCTCCTAGATAACGGTTAAATTATTATTCACTGTATGGTATTTCGATTTCGTCCTGGAAGATTTTGTGCAAACTGAGAAATTCAAGACAACTATAAATAGATTCTTTCCAGACGACAAAACTTTGTTGTATGAGATAGGGATACATTTAGATATTTGGATTGGTAAGTTCTTTCCTTGTTTTTCATTTGCTCATCACAAATCAATTTCTATATTAAATAAAAAAATATAAGTGGATTTTTTCACGTGTTTCTCCAAGATCTTCTGTCTTGTTCGATATTTTTTGTATGCATTCGAATCCCGGCGTTAAGGAATTGGACCAGCTTAGGGAATACCGATTTAGGGAATGTCCGACTTATCCGGGATACGACATTTGACTTGTATAAGGTGGGAGAATCCAACCGGAATTGAATATCAGCCGGACTTAGTGAACGTCCGGTAGCAATTGGCTGTGTATCTTATCATGATTTCTAATATTGAGCTTTTTTCGCAAGTGATTCAGGTTTCATTGTCCATAAGTATGTGTTCTAAATATTTTAATTTTTTCTAGTTTGTTTGTATGTTGCAATTGGTATCGCATCTGTGAAGACCTACCTTGTTTTTCTGAATATGCTCTCATGGTACAGGTAACATGAAGCATTTTATTTTATTATTGGAAAAATAGCTGTAATTTCGTTTTTGATAAAAGTAACTTGAGACCATGCTCATTAATAGTGTAAACAAATTTCAACTCTAGGTTGTTTTAGTTTAATGTGGTATTACATAAGCACCTTATGGTACATATCTTGGCTGTTCGTAACTTAAGTGGCACTTTATGGCCTTTGTTGTCCTTCGATTTAAAGATGACAGTACTAAATCCAGCTTTACTATCAGCAAATAGCCTATGTATTTTACTAAGCCCATTGACCAGAAGGTACACTTTATATTTTTATGACTGGATCCAAATGCTGTATACCTGAATGCAAGACCGTCTTGATTTCTAAGCATTTTTGAGCATATTTTACCAAAGAAATATCCCTTTGAAGAACGTGCTGTATATATTTGTAACGATTTTCAATTTAACTGCCGTTCAATTTATAAGTCTAAAGACTTCATATGAATGCAAGTAGTCATTTGATATAAGTTAATAGAACAGTCTTTTTCCTAATACCAGCGCTTTACATTTATGTACACTGATATGTACAGATCTAAATGTTCATATTTCGGAAATGGTGGATGCTCGTATTGGTAATTTATGTGTAAGATATTTCGAATAGGAAATAAACAGATTCGAGCTCTTTCATCTTTTCTTTTTGATTCGTAGCAGCTTTATCAAAACTATTAGTTGATTTGCCACTGTAAATTGATCGTATTTTTGAAACTATTGGTTTTTTAATTTATATTTTAGGGGTCATATTACTCGGCTACGTAAAGGCGAAAAATCTTGGCTCCCTTCAGCTGTGCGAAAGTTGTCTGCCTCACCACCTAGTTTGTTGGTACGCTCTCTTCACCTTTGCTAACTCTAATTGATATGAGATCATAGATGTATGAGGAAACAACAAGGGGGGTTTTATGATATGTTTAAGTGTGTTCTATAAAAAATAATGCAAACTCTCTAGGGTTGTGAGTCAGTAAATTCTTTTGAATTTTCGTGGAATTTAAAGTAAAGTATCGATCAATTTTTTGTGTTTTTTAATTTTAAGGCTGCTGGAATGAAGTATGCTGGATTCCAAGTTGCTTATACTGCTTGGGGTAAGTAGCCTTTATTTTGCTGCGATCTTCAACCTTAAACCGCAAAGCAACACGCGAAGAAACAATACAATATGTAAATATCTAAAGTGACCTGGCGGTTGTAAACTATTGTGTGAGTCGTAAACTATGTTGGATTTGGTCCAATGGCGCAGCAAGTAATCTAGGACCCCCATGGCAACCAAGAGTGGTGTCCCCTTAAGTTGACCAACAAATTAAGTTAATTGCATTTGATAAGTGCATTTCAAAAAGAAGTATAAATTGAAGTACAAGATTTTTGCATTTTATTCCTTGTTCTATAATGGAGGCCATGGCAAAAAGTTATTTATGAAATACAACAGAATATCATATGATTACAAACGAATGACGAACATTGGATATGCAATGCCTGCCATTTGAGGATTGATTTAACGAGTTCTTGTGCCACTCTTATGGTCTTCGTATATATACGTAGAATATTGCGCTATAGACGTAGAATATTGCGAAGTGCTGTTAAGCTTAAACATCATCTTTAAACCGTTGTTATTTAAGGAATAACATAGCATGGATAATTTAGAAAATTTACCTATTTCTTTTCTAGCCTTCATGATAACTGTGTTTCTTCTGTTACTTATTCTTGGTGCAGCATCTTCATTTCTAATCTACCCAGCTTTCAATGGCAAATCTGCCTTTATATTGGAATTTCTAGCCCAGATTTGGTAAGTGAATACAACGGGCTATGTTCAGTTGCGTTTTCTTTTTAAGCCAGGGGATTATGTCATAGAATGCCTTTGAATGACATGGACACGGTATAGGTTCCAAATCTTTGACTAGCTTAGAGACTTACATTAAGTACCAAAAATTTTGATGGGATTAATTTTCGGTGAAGCAGGGCAACCGAAACTTAATCCCACCGAAATTTTTGAAACCAAAATTTTTTCTTACCGAAATTTTCCAACGCTAGAAAAATTTGAAAGAGCATCAAGAACTACCTCTAAATATGCAATTAGTTGATTTTGTTACAAATTGGCTGAGATTTGGTCACACGAGCACAGGGCTGATATCTAGTGTATTTTCTTGCATTTACACCGACATATTTTCTTTCTACAAAAATTTTTCAAGTTCTTGTCGAAATTTACACCGAAATTGAAAAAATATGACCGAAATTTTTTCCACAGAAAATTAATTGACCGAACTTTTTGGCAGAGGATTTTGTTGCTACTTAATGTTGATTCTCTAAGTCATATCGACCAAGCAGAACTCAATAATATGACGATAATTATAAATATGCCTCTTTGCTAGATTTTGGCCTATTTTTCATATTGAGTTTAAATTTCGATTGGTCAATATGGTATGGAGAATTTAAGTCTCTCAGCCAATCAAAGATTTGAAACCTATGCTGATAGGCTCTGATTGTGGGGTAGCTGTGGGAATTTATGGCTGGTTAAAATGTGTTTAGACTAGGTCAAGATGAAATTAGAAGTCTATTGCTCTTTTTTTGATCTTACAACTGACACAAATCTGATAAAAACCCAACTAACCCTTTCATATTGTTTATGCAAGGTTACCTATCACGATGCATAGAGAAACACATTAAGCCCTGGCCAAACGAATAAAACATTGGCATAAAACATCCTCCAAAATTGTTGCGTAAAACATGTCTTATTCGTTTGGCCACCATGTTTTACAATGTTTTATGCTGTTTTGCAAAATTTTATTTCCAACAAACATTTCGTAAAATATATCTTTTAATCTCATGTTTGATCAACAATATTCCGTTCTTTTGGCCACCTCTTAAAACCTTTGTTATATGCACGCAAGCGCAGTAGGTTAAAATTCGGCAAATACAACGCAGTAACTGTAAGAAGCTGTGCGGCAGCGCTTGACCATTTCAGATGTTTTAACATTTGTTTGATCCGTTTGGTCAGGTCATAAAACATCGTCCAACAATGTTGGTACAAAAATGTTTTATAAAGTTTTACGAATGTTTTATTCGTTTGGCCAGGGCTTTAGATCAAACATTTGACTAGGGAAAAGTTTCGACAAGATCCTCACGCTATTTTAAGACCAATTCATGTCCAAGACCAATTTTTCTGGAACAACATTTTCTGGCTTCAATGAACTTTAATATCATCATTTGTCTCATTAAGAGAGTTAAAGTATTTCATATCTTTAGATATTCTCTTTCCACACTCAGTTGAATTGTAATTTCTTTTTTTCTTTCAAGGCCAGCGATATTGCTTTCTGTGCTTCTCTATCTGTCTCAATTTTTGTCAGCAAAATACCTGTTTTTGCAGCAAAGTGGTGCAGTTATGTCCATTGACAATAGGTAATAACAAATTGATATTTGTTTTCTCCTTAAAAACTAAAAAGAATTATCAACAACTTTTTGTCTATAGTGTATTTCGCACATAAAAGATTCTGCGCCGTAATGTACTAGGTTTAAAAGTAAGATTCTTTTTAGAAATCTCCAGAACCTGTTTTAACAGTATTCTTAATGTTTTATCCACTTCCCTCCCCCTATCAATTTGCCACACTTGTGGCACCAATGTTTAATTGTCTCTTCTGGTGTATGGTGAATGTATTATTGTGCTTCTTCAAATAAACCACGAAGATATAATGCCTTTCCTAAAAATATTTTTAGAGCGTAGATGTCTCCATACTCAAATGTTGTTAGAGCATATGTGCAAGTTATCTACGTCGATACATTTTGATGACCATTATAAAAAATTCCATAATTTTTCAGAACATCACACATGTTATTAGTTCAAGAACATTAAAAGATGCTTTATTTGTTTCTTATCCTAGAAGTATCTTCCACCTGTCTTCGTATTACATGTTCTTCTTCAATATGTTCCTTGGTTTATTCTCGTGCCTTATGCGTATCATAAAGGGGCTCGTTATTGGCGTCCTGTTTCTTGAACGCGTCCAGAAGAGTCTTTTGCCCCGTTCATTTGAAAATATGGACCCAGGTGAGCTAAAAAATAGACGTGCCATTTCAAGCTTGTACATAGTGGGATCCCGATATAGTGAACTTTTGAGGGTTAACAGAAAAGACATTCGCTGAACAAAAGCTCTTGAAATTTGAATTCTTCAAGGCTGCGTTCGTTGTATGTGGCTCGTATAATCGAAATTTCATTGCATTTCACTTGTTATTATATTATATTAACCAGTGACCACAGTTTCCTTTTTTTTATTCGAGTTGGCTGATATCCAGATCTTATCAATTTAAGTCGTGGTTTAATTAAGTAGCTTACGAGGTTTCTAGCAAACGTGCATTGCATATTTCTTAACATCACTCAATAAGAGAAGCAAGCAGTCTCTCCTATATCAACTCCTAGCTCTAACCACAAATATTTGCGAGACTTTGCCAAGTTTTAAACAACTTTAGAATCAATGAACATATATGGAAGGTGTTGTACATATATGTTTTAAAACATAAGGTTCATCCCTTCCATTTCTTTGTTTTTGTATCATGCAATCGTTTTGCAGGTTACTATGCCTACGTTGGATATATCTTGGTTGAGCATTATCATGCTAATCCAGTGCAATGCGTGTTTTTCTATTTGCTGAAAGAACAGCTAAAGGCAGTAAAAAGAAAAAGAGCTTCAATGGGTTGGTTGCGCTAGTCCTGTAAAGTTTTGATATGTTGTAGATGAATGTTGAAACAGCACCTATGATAACGTAACCAAGTCTAACCATATTCGTTATCCTTATAGTCATCTTTTATAGAGCAAGTTCTGTGTTTTATTTTTGGTTAAGCAATGTTCAGTGGTATATTGTTTCTTTGATCTTGATAGCCCCATTATATATTATCTTTCCTTGGTATTACTTCATGCAACGCCATCATAGAGATCTTAAGCGTGACGTCATAAAACTTTGACTTTTGAAAAAGCTATTTCCGCCTATTTAGAGGTATTGCATTATGCTTAATCAGCTTGTGGAAGACAAATTCAAGTAATGACCGGTTTAGCACAGTTAGGATGCGTTTGCCATGTGATTTCTATGCTGTACCCTTGTTTTTGAAATTCATTTATCAAGTAATCAACACCAATCATCCTTATCGTTTCAATCAACTATCATCAGCATCATAATCAATCAGAATCAATCATCATTTTCATGATCAGAATTAGCACCAACAGTATTATCACAATCATTTTATGGCAATTTGCTAACATGAGACACATTTTATTTTCTTCACAGCTGTTATCATTAACAATGACTTTATTGTAAACGGTGAAACTGTGTCAAAGGGAATTGACTTTGAGATGCAAGACATGCAGTTCAGCAAGGAGCTGAATCTATTTGACAAAAGAAAGATCATTCGTAACAAATGGTATTTATGTTATACTTTGGTCAACAACCCATCATTGGTCAAGTATAGGAAAAGTAATCTTGATGAGAAAGAAGAAAATTTATCGGAAACGGAACAAGCGGACAGTATTGAAGAAGAACAAAATGAAGATGTAGCAGAAGAGAAATGAAACTTATGATGTATAACATCTAGAAGATATTCTGCTAGCAAGCTTGTCGTCTAATTTATAATTTTTGGCTTTTGCGAAAGACGTTGAAAAGAGTAAAACTCTCATTTCCAGATTTTCACTTATATTTTTATTATATGGAGCGCATATATTGCTGTTAATAATATTTAAATCTCTACTGACTAGCTGAAGTTGATACTTGTTCCCAT